CAGGTCTCTATCCGTTTTTTCCTTCTGTCATTTTCCTTCCTTTTATTTCTGCCTGTTATTACCAACTTAAATCTCCTATCAATTCCTTGATTTTATCAAAACCAAGAATTTTTGTGGCATTTTTGTGATCAGTGGTATGTACGTACACTATTTTTCTGCACTTTTGGGTGGGGTTCAAAGAAGCAAAGTTTTGATGTTTTTACTTCACAATTTGGGACTGAAAGGTGTTCCGGTGATTCTTGCTTTTGGTTGGCAAGGAGTGATGGCTTCTATTTTCATGGTTTGAAAGGAAGTACTACCAAAGAATATGGCTGGAAATAGAAATGATTAATATGCTGTTTATTTTGCACGCTAATTGAATAAAATTAATCTAGTCATTTCCTATGTCAAATTTATCATGAGAAGACTTAATTTATCATTCCTTTGATTTTATTGCACTTAGAATTTATCATGAGAAGACTTCCAAAAAAAAAGGAACAATATTGGCTCATTTTGTAGCTCGCATTAAATAACGTAGTTGGGCTCGAGAAAAAGTAAATTCGTACAAGTTAAACCAAAGTTATTATCATTCAAAGAGACGTATGTAAGGGTTATTATATGATTAGCGTATCTTTAATTTAAAGGAAGATTTAATCGTATCTAATTGAGTTCTATATCACGAAAGAGATATGTGAGTAACAAATTCTTATTTTTTGGGCATGTAGATGGATGTATTTTTTTCTCTTCAAAAGTGACGTATATGGAGAAAATTTTAATCACTCACATTATATAATAATCTTATTGTTTGGTCTTCTCTTTCATTTATAAAGAAAACATACACCACAAACATTCACATTCTAAACTTCGTTCACTATTTTATGTGAAAGGGGTGTATCATATATCATATGTGTCGGTCATATAGTTCAGGAGGCATATTATGTAATTGTAATTTGGCTCTTCCATCACAACAACAAAAACTTTTGCTTTCTCTATAGAATTTTATTGCACAATGTCTACAAATTGTACAAGCTGGCAAAACATAAGGTTCAACGAGAATACTTTTTCTATCAATTCTTTTTGTACATTCAACATAATTACATGAATATATGATACACATTCACATTGCGTATAATTATTTTCATTTAGGTTTTCAATAACGCAGTTTTCATGAACAGATAAATCCATCTCTAATTGAAGTTGTTTATTAACGTAACCTGCGAGGAAGAAGGAAAAAATATTTTAAAAAAAATTATGAGGAAAAAAGCATCCTTATAATTAATAAAGTAAAAGAAATACATTCCTAATCAATGAACATCGCGTCAACAAACCAATGGCAGGCTGATGAGAAGTAGCATTTTTAAATAAATTTGATTTTTTAAATAATTTGAATACTGGGAAAAATATTGTATATAAAAATAACATGTACCTAACACAAAGGAAAACTTGTGTGAAAAATAATAGAATTACAAAATTATAATGAATCTGAACTAAGCTGAGGACCACATGTAGGTCTTTCTTGTGATAATAAAGTAACAAACAAAATTCATATATATAAATAGAAGAAATTTTTTTCCATAGCTAACAAAATGTACACAAAAGCAATAATATTCACTTCTCGTTTTAGTTTATAAAATGCCTCGAGATTAAGGAAAAAAGACAAATATACAATATATCATAAAACAATATTTCACAAGTAGAACGAGAAGGTCAGAAAACAGACACTTGCTGTTCAAAATTATACACGTAGCCTTCTTATGCATATTGGCATCTTCACAAACATCTGATGAACAATTTCCTTCCACAGCGATCGCACTTTCTTAAGTAGAATATTGATCTGAAAAATTCAATGAAAAGGACAATACAAGGGAAAAACATATGAGTATGCTTTTAAAACTAAATGTGACAAGACATAATAAACACCATGAAGAAAGTAAAATAAATATGGGGAAAAATAATTTACAAGTAGACCTACGTATTATTAATTTAAAATTCTCTACAATGAAGCCCATAAGAAGTCGAATACACATAACATCATCGAAAGTAATACAATTGAAGTGTAAAACGATAAATTAAACTAAATTTATTGATAAATACAGACCTCTTAATCTGAAGCTCCGTATAAAATTACATTTCATACATGAGATTTGTTCTAATCCTAGATGAAATTTTCGTTGAACATTCTCTGCTTGTGTACGCAATTGCTTTCTTTTTTATTCAACACGTTTATTCTTAAACCAGTCACGAACATTTGCTTCAAAAATATGATTATGTGACGATAATCGAGAGACTATTTGTACAATTTCTGCATTGCTTGGACTTTTATTCCCCTCATCAAATATGAAGCGAAGAATATCAAGCTGTGCAAATATAGACATCCAACCTACATTGTCTTCCCATAATTTAATCACCACCAGGTACGATAAATAATTGACAATACAGATGTATCTGACTTTAGAGTTGGAGGGTAAGCTACATGTAAATTTAAAAAAGTAAAAAAAAAAATAACTTACATTTCAAAATAGGCAAAAATGTTATTGGAAAACTATTAACCTCAATTTTGAGCCTCATAAAATAACCCATGTAAAATGTAAGGGAACTTGGTGTAAACTGAAACGGAAAGAATTAGCAAATTTACTCATGCACTTAAGCCTTGTAAGAATAAGTTGTATTTTGACTCCTTAGTATCACTGGTCAAGCATAAATATGTAAGCTTTTGCATTTTATCTGCAATCGATGCATGGCCTAGGTGACATATAAACACGATTGTACGTGGGAATAAATCTCCTTAAAGTGGATGATGCTCAAATTCCCATGTAAACACGATTGTACGTGGGAATAAATCCCCCTAAAGTGGATGATGCTCAAATTCCCATGCAGAAAATTCTTTAATGTGTTTTTCTTTAATTATTGTGAGTAGCTAAATTTTCTAGTGGGACGTAACTTCATTTTGAACATTTAAATTTAATTATCAAGTTTTGCTTAGTTAATTATTTTATTTGTTGATTTTACTTTTTTCTTAATGATCACTAATTCATATGTGTATTGTAACAAATCGAGAGTGATTAAGTTAGATCGTGTAGTAAAATACGACAAGATGTATGATTTTACTTTTATTTCCATCCTGAATTGAATTCTCAAGTGATTTAATACGTTTAATTAAGTTTATTTTGTCCATATTTTATGGAGATTAAAATCAGATTTCTAGCTAATTTTAATAAAAATTATTGAAATGTATGGTTGAAAAGTTGTGGACCCATGAAATATGTGATTGAAATGAACTGTTGACTTTAACTTTGATAAAAATCTGAATTATAATTTCTATCAAACAATAACTAAGATTCATATAAAGTTATAGTGAGTTGACTAACTAAATAAGATCATTTTAAATTCAAGAGAGGCAAATTAATTAAATTTGTGAATTTGACCGAATACAAATTTTGGAATTAAATTTGAGAAGCGAGATTGGAGGGAATAATTTAGGTGAAATCGGAAATCCTGGCACTTTTATTCATCATATTAGTGTTAAAAATCATGATTGTCCAATGCACAACATAAATTAGTCAATAGTATAGTTTTAGTCATTAGCTTAGGGAATTAGTGTTGGGTTTATTAGATAAATTCTCTTTTCTCAAATTGATAATTCAAATAAAGTTATAATTGTTAACTTTGATACTTAATACATAATAACTGGATGGTCCTTGTGGAAATGATATCTCACTTATCATTATATTACTTGTGCTGATTCATACACTTGTGAAATCAATTCATATTACTCATTAGTCTTTGACGATTTTTTTTTTCCATTGAAGATCAATCGAGCAGCATCTTATTGTCAGGATCTCTGTTGAAAATTTTTCGCCCATAAAATTTCACCAAAGCCACGTTCTTTTTAGGGACAGCCAATAAAAATGGAAGGCATCATGTAAATGCAGATTTTTAGAACAAGAAGAAAGTTCGAAAACCAAAGCATTTTTTAAAAAATTCCACCCTCTTTTCTTGTTGTGACTAACAATGTGTAGTTCTATATATAATTTCATAAAGACCGTGCAAATGAATATGCTTATAAATTTAATTCAATAAGAATATAAATATACCTTACATTATCCGGTCCAAGAAATTCACGATTTCACGTTTGTGTGTGAGGTTTCCCCTAATTGTCTTCCATAACAAAATGAATTTTCAATATTCCTATAGAAATAACACATAATCATGCAGAACTAGCTAATGCAACTTCTATTTTTATCACCAAACTGTCATATTGTGTTTCTATATAACCATTTGAAATTATATTATTACCTTCAAGCTTCCTGCATTGACCAAGTTATGGCTTTTTGGTTGCAGAAAAAAAGGTAAGGTCTTCGGAAAGTAGGCCTCTCAATTGATTTGGAATAAGAATGATTTGAAGCATTATTGTTTAGTTCATGCATGGATCTTTTTCTTTTAAATTTTTCAAAATCTTAGAAGTATATTGTCTCTTTCAGTAGCGCAATATTTTGAAGATTCTTGATTATTGGAAACACCTCCGGTTGTTTATTTTCAGGGTTTTTTCCGAAATGGCGAAACTCAGCAACCAAAGTTGGTAGGAAGGAGAGCTACTATATTCGTATTTGGTAACGTACTTCTTGATGACATGAAGGTTCTGTTGCCTAACAAGTCTTATTTGGGTCGACTCTCATCAATCATTTCTTGAATGGAATGGCATTCATTCATGTAGCCGACCCTAAAATTATTGAAAACAACGCTTAGTTCGTGTATTTTTTCTGTTTCTTGAGGATGATAAATTCGAGAATTTTCAATTAAGCAGCTATGGCAGCACAGGAGACCATGGCGTTTATTTAATTTGTGTGAGCTTAGTACGGGCAGGAGAACGGGACTGTATTGTTTAGTTCATGCCTGGATCTTTTTCTTCTAAATTTTTCAAAATCTTAGAAGTATATTGTCTCTTTCAGTAGCGAAATATATTGAAGATTCTTGATTATTGGAAACACCTCCGGTTGTTTATTTTCAGGGTTTTTTCCGAAATGACGAAACTCAGCAACCAAAGTTGGGAGGAAGGAGAGCTACTATATTCGTATTTGGTAACGTACTTCTTGATGACATGAAGGTTTTGTTGCCTAACAAGTCTTATTTGGGTCGACTCTCATCAATAATTTCTTGAATGGAATGGCATTCATTCATGTAGCCGACCATAAATTATTGAAAACAACGCTTAGTTCGTGTATTTTTTTCTGTTTCTTGAGGATGATAAATTCGAGAATTTTCAATTAAGCAGCTATGGCAGCACAGGAGACCATGGCATTTATTTAATTTGTGTGAGCTTAGTAATTTTCAATTAAGCAGCTATGGCAGCACAGGAGACCATGTCGTTTATTTAATTTGTGTGAGATTAGTGACTTACTTTTATGGTTACATGAACTTCAGCTTGACAAAATCAGCTACTGCGCTGACAAATTTCATGGGTTCTGCATTTCTATTATCATTATTCAGAGGATTTATTTCGGATACATACATTTAGAGATTCAAGACTTGCATTATTTTTGGATGCATAGAAGTAGTGGTATGTAAACACTCTTATTATGTTCTTATTCATGCATGAATTTACTGTTATTTCATTCTTATCATCTTCAATTTATTGTGTTAACAAAGGAATCAGACTTAATTTCATGCATGATTCCAAAATGACTTTTCCCATGTAAAGTAAATTAATGTAGTCAACTTGCAGTTTATACTAACCTCAGATCTAGCAATTAATAAAAGTTTCTGAAACATTTAGATAATATTTTTCATGTTATATTGGCTATTTATTAGTTTAATGATTAAGTGAAAAAATAATAGCTCAATGATTTTACAAAACCAAGATAGTGCATCAGCAATATAGTTGACCATTCACGCATGATACCAATTTATTATAAAAATAATTTGCATGCATATATTTAATAATTCTTAATAGCTTTGATTATTTTTGGATCATGAATTAATCAGAATATGGGAATATGTGTAATTTTATTATCAATACAGCTGATGGAAAAACAATGATCTTTAATTTGTGGTTTTCAACAATACAGATTATTATTGATATATGGAAGAAGAAATTAAGTAACTGTATGAATATCTGTCATACGGTATTGGACAAAGCTGGACATTACACGAGATTCTAGCTTCTTTTTCTTATGTCGTAGTATTTACTCGGTAGAAGAAGAATCCAGGCCGATTCAGCAAAACTGTGCATTTTCAGGGTTATGCTGTTCTAGCAGTGCAAGCACATTTCCAGCAACAGAGACCTTTTCCTTGCAAAGGTTTGGACCCTAGCAAAATGAGCCAATGTGAGCCTGCAGACAGAAGCCAACAGGCCATGTTATTTACTGGAATCCATTTGGTAGCACTAGGAACTGGTGGGGTGAAAGCGGCTCTGCCCTCTCTGGGAGCTGATCAATTCGATGAGAGGGATTCAAAGGAGGCAGCTTCTCTTTCGAGCTTCTTCAACTGGTACTTGTTTTATTTTACGATAGGAGCTACACTCAGTGTGACACTTTTTGTCTGAATTAGTACCAACCAGGGTCGGGATTGGTCATTTGGTATTTATTCAATAGCTTTGGGAATGTCACTCCTGTTTCTAAGCATGGGGAGGTCAGTTTATCGAAATAATGTCCCCAAGGGCAGCCCATTTGTTCATTTTCTACAGCTACGTGTTCAATCACCTTATCTAAAAGCTTACAAAGATTATTTACTGATTCAGCTGGATGCAGCAGCATGTTTAACTACCTGCTTGAATAGGTATTTGTTGCAGCCATTAAAAACCGGAATCTTTCCATTTCAGACACAGCAGGAGTGTTGCATGAAATTCATGATAAAGAAGCTGGACAGACTGAGATTCTTCAAAGAACTGATCAAGTCAAGTATGTTCAAAGTTTCATTTGGTATATGCACGAATTAATCATAGATTCATAACTAAAGAAATGCATCATATCTTTATAGGTTTTTGGACCGTGCTGCAATAGTGAAAAGCGCACAAGAAACATCTAAATCAAGTGTGACTGGATCCTGGAAACTTTGTACCGTAACACAAGTTGAAGAAACAAAAATCCTAGTTCGAATGCTCCCAATTATACTGATTACTGAGCACAGTTTTCATGAACACATGTTTGGCTCAACTCCAAACATTTTCCATCCAGCAAAGCAATACAATGGACAGAAACATAGGAGGCTTTAAAATGCCTGGACCCTCAATTCCAGTAATCCCTCGTGTTTGTGTTCATCCTAATCCCACTTTATGACCGGATTTTCATTCCACTATATCAAAGTTCACTGGAATCCCAACCGGAATCACTCAACTCCAGAGGGTTGGAGTGGGACTAGTGCTTGCAGCTATTTCTATGGCAATAGCTGGAATAATTGAAACACACAGAAGAAATGTAGCTATTAATCATAACATGGTTGATTCAGCAGATCCTTTGCCAATAAGCATATTCTGGCTACGCATTCGATATGCCATATTTGGAATGGCTGATATGTTTACATTGGTGGGGTTTTTAGAATTCTTCTATGCAAAGAGCTCGTCCGGGATGAAGTCGCTTAGCACCGCCATCTTGCAGTGTTCACTGGCATTCGGGTACTTCACGAGCTCAGTGGTGGTGAATGTAGTGAACAAGGTGAGTGGTGGGTGGCTAGCGAGCAACAATTTGAACAGAGATAAGTTGAATTATTTCTACTTGTTACTCACCGGCTTAAGCATAGTGAATTTTGGCTTCTACTTGTTATGTGCTTCCTGGTACAAGTATAAAAAGGTTGAAGGTGAACAAGTAGACAATGGTTGGGCTCTTGAGGAAAGAATTGAATCAATTGATATGAGCATTGTTAGGAACAATACACCCTAAAGATGTTATTCTCCAATTAACCAAAATTATATTCATTTTGAATAATTTCACTGTGCTACTTTGTATGAATGCTTAACAACTGGACAATAGTGTCAAATATAAACCCACTGGAATGAACGAGATAATAATTATTGCATTGATCCCGTGTTATTGGAATATTATTGAACTTTTAGCTTGTTTCTCAATAGTCACTGAACTATTAAAAGTAACATTTTAAAGTTCAATGATTATTTAATAACACGAGAGAGTTCGGTGACTATTTGGGAGCATGATTTCTCGAGTTTGACAAAGTTAACGGCCAAGAAAGATTTTCGTTGCCATGTTGCAAGAATCTACTTAAATGGTTGATGGGTATCACTTTCGATAATTCAGTGACCATTGAGAAACATATTGAAGTTCAATGACACTCTAGTAATGCAAGGTAAAATTCAACGACCAATGAAATGGATAACCCTGAAATGAACCCTCAAGGTCATCATTTATACCAATATTAACAAAGCGGGACCTATATTAACAAAAGTTGGACGTAGAAAAAGTGTGGAAAATGTAAACCCGTTGGAAATAACCCTCAAAGTAGTTATTTATATCTATATTAACGAACTTGTGACATTCTCGATATTGTACTGAGTTCCCACAACTCACTACAACTCGCAATATGTTGACTTCTATGGGAATAAGTAACTTATGTTGGTCACTAAAATGAAACTCTGGATTTTACATGCTAGCATATTATATGAGATATGAGTCATATGACACGTTAAACAGGACCTAGTGGCAAATTTTGTAGACATACAATCTTGAAGAATAATGGAGTCAAACCAATTATATGCTTTGAGATATCAACAAGTGAGATCTTAAGAATGATCTAAACCTATCATCCCGTTCATGCAAGTGAAGAGTCACACAAGGATTCAAATCTTGCTTCACAAGTTAAAAAAAACTCCGGTGTTTCTCAACATTATGCCGCCATTGAGTTCATGCAGATTGCCTCTAATTTTAAATCATCGCTAATTTACAAAACCATGTAAGAACATGTTTGTACAGATTGCCATGTATAAACAAACATACTGTTTTACAGACTGTAAGCATTTTATAAGGAAGCAACAAAGATTTACTACCATTTCACGTCCAGTGTCAATGCCTCGGGAGGGACAAGGGCAGGTGGAAACTTTGTGAAAGAAATATTTGATAATAAATTGCTCCAAGCAAATGAATCCACTTCAATAAAAGGTCTAACCTTTTTAACCACAATGGGTATCAGAACGTCTCCTTCTATTCTTGCCACCACATCAAACAATGATCGTTCAACACTAGGCTTTGTTCTCCACTCGGCTACTTTACTCCAGTAAGCATCATTGCTTCTGATTTTTCTCTCCACCTCCAACTGGAAGCGAAACATAGACAACTCTCTGATTTTTACTTTTAGAGCATTTGGGCTGGCTCTCTCACGTGATAAACTCTTCACAACTTTTTCCAGAAAGGCTACTTTAATATCTACAGAACTAAACAAAGAGCTAGTCTTCTTGTAATTTGGCCAAACGTAACAGCTTTCTGGTAACAATTCAACTGCATTTCCGGAGGGAAAAACAGTTTCAATACGTGCAGAAGGGTTCCGAGTTCTGTAAGCAACCACTGATGCAGACCCCCGAATGCGTACAGGTGATAATGCTGCACATAATGCAGGCCAAATAAATTCAGACTTGTTCTTTTCCTTGTGGGTCATGGCACCATACATGGGTTGATGACGCTCAGACACATGAAACAGAGAAATTTCTTCAGCACCTTTTACTTCTACAGTGATTCCCTTGCCAACTAATAATCGTCTCAAACCAATGTGCGAAGTGTTTATCTGATATATACATATAGAAAGGAAACCTTAAGAACGAGAATCATAAACAATAGATATAAACTGGGAAAACAGATCTTAAAAAATAAGAGAGAAATTATCATCTGTAGAAAATGAAACTAAGAAAAGGAGGAGAGATTTTAGAATGCAAAACAATAATTTAAAAGCCTCTAGGGTAAGTCACCTAGACATTATCACCTTAAGGCTCCAATTCCCAAACGCCCCTGCCTCCCTCTAGTACACATTAGCAGAGAAGGTCATTTGGCCTTTACTACAATCTCGCCATTTGATGTGCCAGTATCAAATTGAAAGACAGCACAGAACTTCCAGAATAAGGAGCTGTAAACATGTTTGTGTAGTACCTCAGATATCTATCTACATAAGTGCGTATAGATGGATTCAACACAAAAAATACTTGATTCCTTCTTTAAAAATGAGACAACAAAACCAACCAACATTACCAGGGCCCAGTACATTAGATGGAGATGAGCTTACTGCTTTCTTCACAGTGGGAGTTGAACCGGTACCAACTTGTAGAAGAGATTTAAAGTATCATGAGTATGTAAGACCAACTTATTTAACCCCTGTTTGACTCTCTTTAAATTAAAACTCTTTATTTCTTATACTCATTTTCAACCACAAATTAACACAATAAAATATTCTGCACGTAAATCTGAAGTTTTTCCGTACTTTTTAACCACATATTCTCCAAAAAAATCACTCTTCAAACCTTCATTTTTCCCCAATTTCTCTTTATAATGGCCATCAAACAGGGGCTTAGAGGGTAAAAATGGTTAGATTACACGTGTGGCCACACAGGCCTTATATGGCTTCATTCCAATAAGATTGCTATATTTCTATCGATGTTTCCAATAAGAGTGATGGCCTCAGAGCTCTTAAACTTGACTCACTTCAACACAAAAATATCATAAGGAGCAATTGCATAAAGATATAGTTTACAAAAATGTACCAATAGAATATTAATCCACATTTAAGTGAGGCTGAAAACACAACATCTTCAATGGCTTCAAATCACCTGCTATTTAAGAAGAACCCAGCTGTTCTTTCAAAACTTATTACAGATTCATGGCGCACACAAAGCGGTTTACACCCAATTTCCAGTAAGCATGTTCATAAATGGGTTTATTTGAGTTATAATCCATTGAGACTAAGATCTTTCAACCTGTCCAAATAAAAGTACAACTGAAACTATCCATTTACCACTTCTACTTACATTGATACCAAAATCAATTTTAGAAACAAAAAGTTCGAGATTTAGAAGAATGAAATGAAAATAGATTTCCAGGATGCAGACACATAGTCAAGAGAACCAATATCATGTGAGTAAATCATACACGAAGATAAAGAAATTAATCATAGAAGCATCCATCATTGGAATCTATGGTGATAAAATATATGAAAGAGTAACGGAGGAGTTTATTTCAATGCAAATGCGCCAAATATGCAAAACCAACGAGGATTCCTTTTTTAGAAGAGCCACAAGATTTGACATCTTTATTATTGCTTCTTCACTATCAAAGCAACACAAATATAAACCAAAACACTCAAAACAATAATATCAAACCCATTTTCTATTTAGAGCGCCGCTATCCATTAATATTCAGTGAAGCTTCGCACGTGGTATTAAGATATCCTATTGTACTATTTTAATGTAGTATAGTGTTTAGTGTTAAATTATTATTACTATTTAATACCACTTCTAGAGATTAATAAGGTAAATACTAAAAGAAAAAAAGGTAACTATAGAAATATAAATTGTAATGAACGGTATATATTTCAACTCCTACCTGCCACCTAACCTCACAAACACATAAGGAAGAAGTCTTCTAACGTATGTTTCTCCGGACAACTATACTTTTTGACTGCATTATAGAGAGTGATGGAAACAGATGATTTCAGTTAGTTAAAAAATCAAATTCATATTTAGCTCCTACTTTTTTTTATCCAAAAGAGATAAACCCCACTTCAAGAACTCAGATGTCCTTGCGGAATAATTAAACTTGAAGTTTCAACTTCATTGGAGAGAGTGATGGACACACATAAAAACAGTGAGTTAAAAAATAAATTTTATATTTAGCTCTTAAATAATATTTTTCCGAAAGAGACAAAACTCCATGTCAAGACCTGAGATTTTCCCATTCATAGAATACTACCACTCCCAGAAACAATCTGTGCCACATTACGGCAAAAAAACAAAAAAAAAACACAAATCCAGAGAGAGAGAGAGAGGAATTAATTGGGCCAGTAAGGAGTACAAAGGGGTTAAAACCACAACTCTGCTCTTCTTTCACAGAATTGATCATATGCATTTGGAAGGCTCACTATTTTGGGCATATCAAGATGGAATAGAATGATGTTAAATCTGTCTTATCTGCACTCAAGATTTATTTCAAAAACGCCGAAGCTTATGTCTAAAATTAATTGTTTGTTAAATAAGATTGACAGAGATCTAGCCTCTATTTGAGACCTGTCATCCTTTTTCGACTCAATTCTCAACTTTGGACTCCGATACATCATTTTTCACTTAATATTTCTTTCTGGAGCTAAACGTGCATGATAATCAATATCCAATCATTAAAGTTCGGTGTCCAAACCAGTATAATCCAAAGTCAAAACACAATCAGAAGTACTGAAGGGAAGGAGGGAGATCATACCGGTAACATGAGTGAAAGCTGATCATCAATTCCAGTAACTCGCAGTTCAAAAGGGCCTTCAATTCTGAAACTATCAATGACAGCCTTTGACCCAACTCCCCTGACTAGAGACTCAAAAATTGATGTTTCATTTACCATTAGTCCCTCCAATTTCTTCCATTCTGACACTTGGTCATACAATTTGAGTAAAATTTCATTCTTCCTGACCCGAAACCGGAATTCATATTTGCGCATTGACCCGTATTTGGCTTTTCTCACATCCAATTTTGAAACCTGAATATCTTCCAAAGCCCATTTCTCTTTATCCACTATAGCATCCAAAACACCCTAACATACCAAAAAGACAATTATTAGTACCCATTACTCCTAATCTTAAACTAGAACTCCTAGCATCAACCCCAATTGAACTACCATCAGTGAATAATTATCTATTCATTTACTCAATTCCAAGAACATAAAAAACATACTTTCTTACCATTAAACTCAAATCAAATACTAACACCTGACATCTTTTTACTCAAAAACGGTATGAAATATATCAAACTCACCTGCAAGAAATTAGGTGGGTGCTGGAAAATCTGTGATTCGGTAAGCGAAGTGGATTTGGGGAAGAGGAAGCGGGAGACGTTAAAGGGGGGTGGTGCATGGGAGATTGATGGGTAGATTAACGAAAGGGTTTGGATAATTACAAGGAAAAATGAAGGAAATAAACGGCCGAGCATCGCGATAATAAAGGGTATGATAATCAATCAACGAGAGCACTAATCTCCGCCGGTGGCGGCGACAGGCAGAGTGGCTGACGGACGCTAGTTTGGTAGGAGATCTGAGAGTGTGTTACTTCAAATGATGATGTTGAGATGCTTTGATTTGACATTCGAGAAAAATTACATGGTGAATAAAATGAAATACAAATAGAAGAGAAAATTATCTTTTAATATTTTATTTATAGCATAGTATAACATTTCAACTAGAAAGGTGGCTTAAAATTTAAATTCAAATCAACAATTAATTTTAATTACATATTAAATATGATTCATAATTTTTCAACCACATATTTTATTAATTTTTATCAAATCTATTTAAAAAAATAATGTTTATATAAGTCAAATGGGAGCTTGGGTTGATCAATTTCATCAATTGATCACATTTAAGTCTTAATTCAAGATTCATAAATCTAATGTGGTGTTCGATTAAATTTTTTTATTGTATTCGATTTACTCATCTAGAGTTCTCATTGAATTTATTTAACTAATACAATCACATGTCTCTATGTGAATCAATCTTAGCCCCCATTTGGCCTTCATTATTCCTCCATTAAATTATAATTCATTTCTCTCTCTCTTACTATTAATCACACATTTTACAATAAAAAATTATTACACGTAAATCCAAAAAATCTTCCTTCTTTTTTAACTATACATTCTTCAAAAAATTATTATTCTTCTCATTATAATTTAAAATAATTGTGGGCCAAACGGGCGCTTAGTTAAACACGCTATTTGTTCTTCATATAACGACCGCAATAATTAGCATGAATATCTCTACGTTTTATACTAAATTACTAGATTTTACTGTGTGGTCTAAATCTAAAACTCACGTATCAATTCGTAAAAAAATCACAAAATCGTTGAATTGCCGATCAAGTAATTCAAAACATTAAATTTATAAATAAAATCATCACATATATGATGAAAGAACTATAATCTTGAATAAAAGAAATAAAAGATCTCCAATAAATTACATTGTTCGCCTTAATGTATAATTTAGCTACTCATGATTGATCAAGAAAAACAATAGATGATAATGAAGTACATTATCTAATTTTAAATAAAGATGTAGAAAAATGGATAAATTTTGCACCAAGATCTTCTTCTTCCAACCAATGCTTCAAACTCGTGATTTCTTGATATTTTTATCTTTCGATCTGCTCTCATAAATCTCAAGTTGTATTTTGTGTATCTCCATGTGTGGAACCCTTCTCAAGTACCTCTCATTTCGTATTTATACTTCTCCTAGAGCTTGTTTGGGATTGATTTTTTTGGGAAGAATTGATTTTGAATAGCGATATGATGGGAAATGTGTTGTTGAAAAAAAAAATTTATTAATGTGATGGAAAATATTATTTTATTGAAAATTGTGTTGTTGAAAATAAAAATTGATTTATTATAGAAAAATCGAAATCCCTCCCAAACAGGGCTCTAATGTTTTCCCCGAATTTGGAGACTTTATGGGGTTTAAACGGATCAAAAATCCTCGCCCTAGGCGATAGTAGGCGGCCTAATTCTCATTAAAAATTCAACACTGTAACATAACTTTTTCTCGATATTCAATTGAAGGGATTCAAATTGGGTTGTAAAGATAACTTGAGTCACATTATTTTGGAATAGTAGATTGATGGAGAATGTGTGATTAAAAAACAATGAAAAATTATTAATGTGATAGAAAATATTATTTTATTAAAGAATGTGTGATTTAAAATGAGTAGAAGAATAAGAATGAAAATTTTAATGTGGCTCAAACATGGGCTCAAATGGCTATAATTTTAATAGAAATAGCTATTTTTCAATTCGAACTTTTACCAGATCAAAATGGATCTCAATCTTCGGTTAAAAATCTGGAACATCTTTATACGTTGAAAATTGATTTGTGAAAATATTTTGATCATTCACTCTTTTTTATTTCTAATTGCATCCAATTGACCCCTAGTATTCTCGAATCTTCAAGTCCAACACTTTTGAGTATTTACACTTTAGTTCCCAATTTTTGAATTTTACCATTTTTTCGCCAATTTTTCACTACTTTCTTTCAATTCCATTTACATTCATTGAACTTTACCTAATAAACAAAACATACAATAAATTAAGTTATAATTATTCAAAAGAACTATTAAATGTCTATAATTTTAGGTCCAAATAAGTGTATAAAATATATTTAACAGTGGATAATATTCTCTAATCTTTTAGTTAAAAATATCATCTCTACTATCAACCGTATAACATAGTACGACGAGTGAAGATAGACGTAGATCAGAAAAGATAATAATATATTCTATAAAATTCTTAATACAGTCAATTATAGTGCACCTAACGAAACCTCAAGCATCTATCTACTGTTCATTCTATGAAATTCTTCATGTGGTTTAATACGGTGCACCAAATAAAACTATACATCCAAAAAATAATTAAAGATAGGCTCGTCGTATTTTATCTTGCAAATATATATTTGAAGAATTTTTCTCGAGTTTAAATTTAAAAATCATTCCCCTAAAAAATTACAGTCATTAATTAATAATAAAAGAGCTTCTCAATATGGATATTACTTCTCTTACCAAGTATGCAGTCTGGATCTCTGCCAGCTTTGTTCAAATGCAGGCTAAAATTTTCTAATACAAATGAAACCATTCAGTAACAATTACAATGAATGTGCCATAATTAATTGATAGGAATCATCAAGAAAAAGAATGATCATTCATTCGACTGTACTTGTGTAACAGTAGATTTAGAAAATTCAATGATTACACAGATACAAAAATCAGCCAAGATTAGGCTCTTTAGCAGTAATAATGACACGATAATTATTGAGATGATCGCTTCCAAAGAACATTTGGGGGATCACGAGACGAGGGTTAAGTAATATTCACATATTCTGGCAAAAGCCCAAGATAAATTGAAAAAAATTGATTCGTGAAAGAATCAAGCAGATAAAAAAAAAGGTTGAATGAAGTCATGTTTGTAGAAAAGGTGAAGTGTCACGATAATGCAAAAACATTCCTCTGCTGGGAAGAATCGTACAGAATGCTGGACACTTTGGTGGGAGGCCAATACCGGAAAACTGATCTACCAATGATGTTTGTAATCGGCAGTGGACCCCTGAAAGGCAAAACCAAAAATCAGACATATGAAATTTCCAAAATACAGGTATAGTAGAAATCCATTATTTTTTGTTGTTTTCAATATAAAAGAGCTTTTATGAAGGAGATAAGCCTCGAAATTTCACAACAAATTCTTGAATAGAAAGCACGCAAAAAATAGCAAAAGAAATCAAAATGCAAACATAATTTACGAAAGAACCAAAATGCCAGTAAAGTATTTAGCAACACATTAATTACCAGTTATGGGAGTCGAAGCTGTTATTACGGTTGTCTCCCAATACGAACACACAGCCCTCAGGTACAAGCTATATTGAAACAAAAACAATGAGCAGATTTGTCAAACCTGTTCAGACAAATTTTAGAGTTGAAGACAGTGATCAGAAGGCCAAAATAATGACAAGCACAAGAAATTACCACTGTATCCATTTCATAGTCATGTGGCTCCAAGATGAAATCCTCGTCTTGGGGAACGCCGTTCACCAACAGTTTTCCACCACGAACCTACACAAGGAACAAAATTAGTCAAGTTGATAAAGATGACAAGATAAAAGCACATAGCTTCAATAACTCTTGACAGTAAGACTTACTTCTACGTAGTCCCCAGCTTTAGCTACAACTCTTTTGATGAAGACATCACCTGAACTAAAACCAACCGTCTGTACAACAAATCAAAGCAAAACAATACGGTGTCAGCTCCATGGTATGACATAACAGAGTACTTAATTCTGTTAACATGCAATCAATAAATCCAAATCATACCTGAAGAATTGAAGGTGCCTTGAAAATCACAATGTCTAAGACGTCAGGATTCCTGAAAATGTAAGATACCTGAAAACCCGCCAATAAGAAGAGGTCAAAATGGTCACCTCATCCGTCGCATAAAATTTATTCCTTTTATTCACATCCCAAAATCATCAATAAATATTAAATACATCAAACTAATTCTAGGAATTATTAGATATTAGACCACATCACTGATAGTTCTCTACAAGCAACGGCCATTGTTATAATCCATTATACAAGAAGAACATTATCACATATCCCAAGCAAGTAGTCAAGACTGCCCAGCTTCGTATTTTATTCCAATACAAACTAATAATATAAGGCAAATCAACAAATAATTTTTGTATAGCATTAAGAAACATAAACCAAACCCTGCAAAAAATGGTAACGTACTTTTAGAGACATGTTAACGAAGGCTTCTTCTAACAGTGAAACAAGGCCTCAAACATGCACGCATGCAGGAAACACAAAAAATTGAAAAAATATTGTAATTAGAAACAAAGTTCTAACACTAATATGCACCCGAGTGTTTTCTGGGAACAAGCATCTTGATCAAAACTATCTTTTCTGATCCACATCTGAATGGCTGGCAATGAAAAAGAAATATATTTTCAATACTTCGGTTATACAGATATCCATCATTAATATTTCTTTTGCGCAAATAAGATACATAGCATACTTCTCAATACAGATATTAATGCAAACGCCTGGAATATATATCATCAAATATAGTCATTACTTCTAAACAAGTACAACAGCAAAATAAAATCTGGTTTCAATTCAATCACAATGATCATAAGAACAATAATAACAATACCAAAGTTTCAATTGAGTCAAGTGAGATTATACCTTCTCGGCCATGACACGATCACCCACGTCAAGTGTCGGGTACATGGAAGTCGAAGGAATGGACCTTGGCTCTGCCAAGGTAGACTTGAACAATATACTGACACTGAAGGCCGTTAAAGCTGCCTTGGCATCCTCTGAGCTAATAGATAACTTCATCAATTTGGACAGCCAACTAGAGCTAGTGCCAATACTATGTGGCAAAGCCTTAACACTACCACTACCACTACCACTAGCACCAGCACTCTTGGCCATCGCCAACGCCTCCGAGCATTTACTGCTATTAACACTGCTTTTAACCACGTCTTTGTTACTGCTGCTTCTGCTTTCAATCACAACTTTGCTACGGTTACAGATTCTGCTTTCAATCACAACTTTGCTATTTCTGCTGCTACTGCTTTCAATCACAACTTTGCTACTGCTGCTGCTGCTTTCAATGGCGTCTTTGCTACTGCTGTTTCTGGTGCTACTGATACGGGTTCCACCCCGATCCACCTCCGTACTGGCGGGCTCGTTGCAGGGCAGCCACTTAGAGCCCTGTATGAACGGAATGACCGAGGATGCCTTAATCGGTGAAATCCCCAAAACACCCGCGTTGGATGTCCCCATGGACTGCTTCATCAAAGAAATCAGTCCCATATACAGAGGCGATCGTGAATTTTCGCCCAAAATTTCCTCTGCCAGCATTGAGAACATCGACGACATGGGCCGAACAGAGGCTCCGACAGGACCAGGACTGGGTTTAGCCCGGCGAAAATCGGAGTAACTGGAATCAGGTTTTTGGGACGGCGGGTGATGGAAGATGCGGGAACGGAATGCGCACTCGTGAAGGAATCGGGATCCAGCACATTTGGAGGACGCCGAGGAGACCATACTCGAGGCGATGTAGCCCGAGTAGGAAACTGTTAATCTGATAGCCATAACGACAAATAGTATCAAGCTGATCAAGAAGTAAAGGAAAATAGTGGGGTTAGGGGTGGGCTGTAAGGTTAAAGAGAGGCCTACAAGCCAAGAAATGCCATCGGAATTGAAAAAATCAGCGACAAATTGGAGAAAAAGAAGAATTGAAAAGTGTGATTAATTTCAGAAAAAATTGAAGGCGGGTTTGAATCGGAAGGCAAAAATGGAAAAGCTGAACCCTATAACAGGTGCAGGTGCAGGGCAGAGCCTTTCCGACGAATTGGGAGCGGAGAATGGCGCAGGACAGCTGGGACTCGAGGGATAATTGGAAAACAAGAATAGTATGAGAATTTGGGTTTAATGCCGGCTGCGGAGATGGCAAAAATGGTAATTCGATCAAAGACTGCGGGCATTTACTTAAGCTGTGACCTGTCATTTTGACTATAACGTGGAGGTGGTTTCTGGGTGGCTTTCCAAGTACGACCTTTTCAAATCCTGCTTTTGAACGCTTTCACACACAATTTTTTGTGTTTAGCCAAGTAATTTATTTCTACATGACCCCGCAAAATATTAGCTTTATTGAAAAATCTAAAATTTAATGACGAAAATTTAGTGTAGGTTCTCTTTATCATTTTCAAATCGTTTTTTGTTTTCGATTTTTTAAAACAGTGAAAATACATTCACTTTCCTATTTTCGAAAATACGTTTTGAAAAATAAGTTAAAAATTTACAAAGAAAACTCAAAACGACAAATTTGTCGTTTTGGATATTTTCAATTATAATCAAACCAAAATTTTCAAAACGCGTTTTGAGTATTTTCACAATGCCAAAAATCGCACATTTTCAACAATTTCAAAATGAACACTCAAAACATAAAATTGAAATACAAGGAGAATCGCCCTTATTTTTTTGAATAATGATACTTATAGTCTCTCACTACAACAGTCGTCATATGTGGCACACACATGTCAAGTGTGTATTTGATACATTAAATGTGGTCAAAAATTACCACATTAATGCATCAAATAACTACATGTCATGTGTGTGCCACATAGGGCGATTGCTGCAGTGAGCGACTGCAAGTAGCATTACTCTATTTTTTGCAATTTAATGCTGTGTGGGAAGAACAAGGTCAAAAAATTTTTTAAATTATAAGTTGAAATTATTGAAACCAAACCAGAGCTCGAATCATCTATTTCAATTCCTAACACACTACTACTCGATAATATTTGCGTAAAGGGGTAAAATCTAGCTAAGAAATAAACAAATTATTTAAGTTATGAATATATCAAATTCAACTGCCACGCGTTATAAAAAATTACTAAGTTTGTAAAAAATGTAAGAGAACGAAATGCTCAAATTGCAAAGAATGATTCATCAACTTACACCATCCATGATTCTGGTTCAAGAACCAAGAACATACCAGAATCCAATCAGTTTTCAGTTCTCGGTTTCGATTTCTAATTTATTTTTTCGGTTTCGGTTCGATTTGGATTCAGACGGTTCAATTCTGTTAAAATACCAGAGCCTACTCAAATCTCACTATTCAATAAGAGAAAAGGGCCGAACTCCACTTGCTCCCGCCTCCCTTCAGAACTACATTTACTCACAACTTACATTCACCTATTAATTATAAAATTTACGAGATTCATCAACTTGTAATATCAAAAACTTTGTCAAACGGAGTTTAAATTCGCCACCTTGGTCCATTGAGCTAGAGAAAAGGAAAAATCAATTGATATGAACAAAAAAAAATCGCTTACATCTGGCAGTCAATTTATAAATGATTTATAGAGTTAGTCCAAGTCACATATTAATTTCATTCACACATCAATAACTACTACTTGTTTATTATATACACGTTTTTTACTATTTACTATTTTTTTATATATATATAAATTTGTCAAATGGGCTTAATATTTTGTTTCAATCAGGACCAAAGGATGATGAATTTATTATTAATGCATTGACAAAATCAATTGGATAAATTGAATCAACAGTTGAAGCTTAAGCATTAAGAAACTTTCATTGACATTTTTTACATTTTCTTTTGCAGGGGAAAATGAGGTTTCAAAGGAATCCCTTCATAACTCGTTTAATTTGTAAATACCTGGAAATAGAAGCGACATCATCTAACTCTTGTGATGAGGTATGCACTTCCGTCACCAATTGGAAGTGACACGTTGCTATGTTTCCCGGGTAGCAACATGATTCTATCACTTTAATAATAATTAAAAGGATTTAAAATTGTTATTTTTTGCGTGACCTCTTATTGTGTAGAAATACAAGTTTGACCAGACTTGTAAAATCTATTGTTGTGAAAATAGCTCAAAAAAAAAAGGATTTTTTCTCCTATAAATGTTTAAATTATAAATAGATAGGAATTCAAATGAATGATGGATATATTAAACAATAAAAGAAAATATCAAGTTTTATAATATGTGAGAGCTCAAATCGAGTCGAGAATAACTGACGATTCGTCTCTTCGCTCTTTATTAAACTAATAGTAAGTATGTGCATTGAATGTCTTATGTGTTAAATGAATGACATGCTTAATATTTTCGAAATACTTAAAATATTGAATAGTAGCTTATTGCTCTTATTTTTCCATTTCGAAGTCGATATCTTTTTTCTTTTTCAAGCATGGGAAGAATTTTTCCATTGTCCCCTTAAACAACGTTGCTTGAAAATTATTTCGGTGAAAACATTATTTAAAAAAAAAAAAAAACTATTAGCCTAATAGTAAAACCTCTATAAAAAATGTATTGATTAATTCTGACATTATATAATACTTCTCCATCACACAAATTTAGTTTTAAAACTTCAATGGGTCGTTCTTGTTGCTGTTGATCTCAATTGAACATTTTTTAAATATGGATAATTTTATAATCCATTCTTTTTCGAATGCATTAAGTTGTCTTGTAAAGATATAATCGCAATTTTTGTTTGATGACGTCAATCCTACAAAAATGAAAACCAATTTAAGATATGACAACAATATACATTAACAATTAACAAAACGGAAAAAGTTAACATTTTTCAAATTAAACTAACGACTTGACTCACTTCGTTGATCTAATGAACCAGGTTTCGTTTCAGCTAGTATTTTCGACGATGATGTATTCATTTGTAATGTTTCTAGCATACAAAAAAAAAAAAATCATTGATATGTTAGTTCAGTAATTTATTTATCGATACTGAAAAAAATTATATGACAAATATAGGACATATCATACAAATATAATATCATACGACATATGTCTTTATCGAGAATGTGATTGTTTAGATATCAATATAATGCAGTGACATATGCTAATTATAATTAACACTTCATAATTTGTTTAACACCGAAATTTGGTAAATCCGAAAAAAAAATTGTCAAACAATTTTATTTGATATAAAAATTAGTTACAGGCCAATACAAAGTGAATGTTGTTCGCGCAAAATGCTAATAGTCAAAGTAAAAATATAATCGCACATAAGTTAAGTTGAATTTTTTTACTCAAATCTAGGTCAGGGCGTCGGATGGGTCTATCCTGGTATTTCAATACTCGGAACCACTCACTATACTTCGGGTATTTCGTAAATAAAATCATTCCAGTCCTTGAAATTTTGAAACCATACCCAAGTCCGAATCATCTATTCTAATTCCTAACACACTACTACTCGGTAATATTTGTGTAAGGGGAAAATCTAGCTAAGAAATTTTTTAAAAAAATATTTAAGTTATGAATATATTAAATGCAATTACCACGCGTTATAAAAAAAAATTACTTACGCTTGTAAATAATGCAAGAAAAAGAATTGCTCAAATTGCAAAGAATAATCGTTTTGATTCATCAACTTACGCTGCCCATGGTTCTGGTTCAAGAACCATGAATCGACTCGAACACAGTTGATTTTCAATCCTCAATTCCGATTTCTAATTTATTTTTTCGGTTTCGGTTCGATTTCAATTCGGGAGGTTCGATTCGGCTAAATTACCCAAGCCTACCAAATCTTACTATCTCAATAGGAGACAAGGACCCGACTCGACTTGCTCCCACCTCCCTTCGCCAACGCATTTACTCACAACTTTTATTCACTTATTAATTATAAATTCTATGAGATTCATCAACTTGTAATATCAAAAAAACTTCGTCAAACAGAGTTTAAATTTGCCACCTTGGTCCATTGGGTTGGAGAAAAAGAAAAATCAACTGATATGAACAAAAAAACTTAACTTCCATTTGGCAGTCAATTTATAAAGTTAGTCAAATTTGTCAAATGGGCTAATATTTTGTTTCAATCAGGACCAAAGGATGATGAATTTATTATTAACGCATTGACAAAATCAATTGGAGAAATCGAATCAGACTGTTTTAAACAGTTGAAGCTTAAGCATTAAGAACCTTTTATTGACATTTTTTACATTTTCTTTTGCAGGTGAAAATGAGGTTTCTAAAGAATCCCTTCATAACTTGTTTATAAATATCCGGAAATAGATTACTTAGACGACATCATCTAACTTGTGATGAGGTATGCACTTCCGTCAACAATTGAAAGTGACACGTTACTAAGGCGACATCATCTATCGCTTTAATAATTTAAAGGATCTTAAAAATATTTTTTTCCCTCACCTCGTATTGTGTAGAAATACAAGTTTGACCAAACTTGTAAAATCTAGAGTGGTGCTATGTGTCCACACAAATTTTTACACAATCTTTTACATCCCTCTCACATGGAGGGGGGCCCACGATTATTTTATTATGTGAACATTTTGTAATTCATTTTGTAATCCATTTTGTACCTGTAACATGCTCCATATGTAAAAACCCTACTTCAAGCATTCTCCAAGAAAGAATCCCTTCATAACTTGTTTATAAATATCTGGAAATAGATTACTAAGACGACATCATCTAACTCGGGATGAGGTATGCACTTCCGTCAACAATTGAAAGTGACACGTTACTAAGGCGACATCATGTATCACTTTAATAATTTAAAGGATCTTAAAAATATATTTTTCCCTTACCTCGTATTGTGTAGAAATACAAGTTTGACCAAACTTGTAAAATCTATTGTTGTGAAAATAGCTCAAAAAAGTTTTTTTTTTCTTATAAACGTTTAAATTGTAAATAGATAGGAATTCACATGAATGGTAGGCATATTAAACAATACAAGAAAATATCAAGTTTTATAATACGTGAGAGTTCAAATTGAGTCAAGAATAACCTACGATTCGTCTTTTGGCTCTTTATTAAACTAGTAGTAAGCAGGGGGGCGGAAGCGGACAATTAAAGTCAGGGGGAAACAATCGAACTTGCAAAGACGTTGGAAAAAATTTTACAATCGAAAATTTACATCCAAAAAAATCAGACCCCATATAATTTTGCATTAGAAAATTTAAATTGAATATGACTTTTTTGGATGTAAAATTTCGAAATTTTTTTTATGTCATATGCCATTTAAATTTTCTAATGTAATAATACAAATTACATTGAGAAATTTTTATCACAAAAATAATAAATGTTAATGAAATAATTAATTTTTTCTAAAAAATGCGAGTTGGACGCATCTTTAACTATTTTCGATATTTGTTTGAACTATTCAATATGCATATTATGTAGTTTTCGAAGCGAGTTTTGAGATGATATAAACGATTTGTAAATTCGGCTACCGTTCGATCGTCGGAGAAATTTTAAAGTTAACATGTTATCGAAATTCTCGAAATACAAATTTGACACAAGCATTGTAAACGTTGATAAACAGCTTTTGCACGCCGTTAACAATATACAAAACTAGACTGTGAGCACTTCGAAATAGTATTAAGAATGCAATATTTCGATTTCGTTTCATATCTTATAATGATTTCGAAAATTGAAACAAAACATAGGTGGGAAAAAAGGCAAAGTTGGGGGGGGGGGGTCACGTGCCCCCTAGGCCCACCCCTGCATCCGCCAGTGGTAGTAAACATGTGCGTTGCATGTTGTATGTATTGAATGAATAATATGCTTAATATTTTTGAAATACTTATACTATTTTTTAAAGTATTTAATGTAATTTGTATTGTTAAAGGAAAAATTAAAATTGTAATATATAGTGTGAAAATGTTGAATAAGAGCTGAGTGCTCTTATTTTTCCTTTTCGAAGTCTCTATCTTTTTCCTTTCTCAAGCATGGGAAGAACTTTTTGATTGTCTCCTTGAACAACATAGATTGAAAATTATTTCAATGAAAACATTATAAATAATAATTAAAAAAAACTTATTAGCCTAAAAAAAAGGTATTGGCTAATTTTGACATTATATTATACTTCTCCATCACGGGGATTCATATGTAATTACCAATTAATTTTATCAATACTTCTCAATGTTCGGATGGGAAATGTAATTTTAGATTTGTCTTCTTTTTAAATTTTTGTTTTTATTGTTTTATGCTAGGTTTGATCCAGCTCACTCAAGAATGAGATAGTAGTAATCCGCCGACAAGCTCGTTCTGATATTGAATAAAATACATTAGATTCTAATGCACTACAACGAAACTTGCCGTGCATTTGCCTAGTGTGCGGTAGCCGGTAAGGCACCATCCTCTTGTGCCAACCTTTTATGATGGTATCAGGGGCGGATGGAAGGGGGGGCTGGGCCAGGCTGTAGCCCGATCCAATCCCCACCCACTGTTTTTTTTTTTTTTTGGGAGTTAGAAAAAAAAAAATCATATGTAATTTTTTATATTACGTATTAGTCCATCCTATAATCCGGTCTTAGATCCGTCCATGGATGGTATAGGCTCCAATTTTATTCCTGCTACTAGAAGGATGAAATTTTCGGGTTTCGGATCAAATTCAGCTCAGTCTAAAAAAAAAGGTTTTGGCTAATTTTGACATTATATTATAATTCCCTTTTTATCTAAATTTAGATATCATGGGGATTCATATGAGTTATCAATTAAAACAACTTTTAAATAAAAGTAAATATAACATAACATAAAATCGATTCGAAAAGTTCACCGACAATAAAAATGAAATACGAGGAATAATAATAATAACAACAACAACAACAACAACAACAATAATAATAAACTAAGCGACAAAGTTAATGAAAGTTATTGTTTAAGAGAAAAAAAGCATTCATGTAACTTTAGTGCTCGATTTATTGTGAAACCGCGTTCACTTTCAACAAGGAAAACACATTTGGAAAGGTGAGAATAATTTGACTTATCTTCATCGGAGATGATTATTAATCAATGTAGCATGACAAATTAAATTTTATTGCTAAGTTCGACAAAGTGGATCTCTGCCAGGTGTCTAATGCGTGTTATAAGCATCCAAATATAATACGTATAATCTAGTCGATTATCTTTAATCCATCGTTAAATATTGTCTAATTCATTTTCTTAATTTTTTGTTTCGATTCTTCATTCTTGATACAATCTTGAATCTTTGATAGTTCTTAGATTGATAGCGTTCTTAAATATTCTCTGAAGACTTGACTAGGTTAGCTAGTGGACCCCAAATTCAAAAACCCCGAGAGGTAGAGGAAAAATGGATAAGACAGAAAAGTAAGAGACCTACTTACTACATTTCGTACATGTTGTGACCTAAATGGACAATTCCACTTGTACATCAAAGTTTGTAAATCAACGGATACATCTCTCTCACATGGGAGGTGATGTCTAATTCATTTTCTTAATTTTTGTTTCGATTCTTCATTCTTGATACAATCTTGAATCTTTGATAGTTCTTAGATTGATAGCGTTCTTAAATATTCTCTAAAGACTTGACTAGGTTAGCTAGTGGACCCCAAATTCAAAAACCCCGAGGTAGAGGAAAAATGGATAAGACAGAAAAGTAAGAGACCTACTTACTACATTTCGTACATGTTGTGACCTAAATGGACAATTCTACTTGTACATCAAAATTTGTAAATCAACGGATACATCTCTCTCACATGGGAGGACCACTTGTACATCAAAGTTTGTACATCAAGGGATACATCTCTCTCACATGGGAGGTGGGACCCATTGAAATAATTTTTTTTTATTCGAGTGGACCCCACCCCCCATGTGAGAGAGGTGTAAACCCCGATGTAAATCTTGATGTACCACTAGCATGGTCCGACCTAAATTGCAGTTTCCTGACAAAAATAGGTTTAAAACCACAACCTCGTTCAATGAGGTTAATTGAAGAAGTTTGAAGCACCCAAAATTTCTCCAACTAAATAAAATACTTTATTGAGTGATTTTATTTGTAGTGAAGACTATCAGCAACCTTCCTACGTGACGAATATTTGACGATTTGTGATTTGATGAACAATGAATAAAAAAATTACCACTTTAATGCACCGAATTACAAATCTTCACATATGAAGATTACTCGTAATCTTCACTGCGAATAACATTATTCTACTTTATTTTATTTTTGTGAGCAAAGTTATGGCTCACCTGGAGGGTTTCTAAATTTACCTTTGCTTCTTGAGAAAGAGTTTTTTCAAGAAATTACGAATACAGTCTAAATTTTCTAAAATTAATCGTACAAAGTACTCTCAGGAAATTATCCAAACTAATTTAAAAATTTTTTAATCTCAAAAATAACTTTTTACTTTTTAAAGACCTTCCCAATCGAGCCATTTTATTGTTTCAGTTGTGTTCGATCGAACTTGAATCTCAAAACAAAAGCGGATCAATTATTTAAATTAAATTGCATGATCAAGTGATAAAAAGAATTGCTTGAAAATATGAACCACATAAAAACTTAACAAAGTCAAACTAATTGGTACTTTCAAAAAGTCAAAATTGAGTTGCGACATCAACATAATTTACGGGCACAAAATTAAAAACCCCTTAATTTATTGCTTATTACACTTGCAACAGACAAACTCACCGCACAAGATTTATTAATTTATCTTTGGTAAATAAAAGATGACGTCGTCTGCCACCGTTACCTGGGTCAAAGTCAAAGCCTCGATTAACTTTTTGAATAAATGTAAGTGTACAAGATTGGTTGACAATAATAATTGAAAATAACGTGTTGTCAAAATCTTAACATGTGACGTAGAAAATAACGTGTTGTCAAATATGATATTATCAATTAATGTTGTACATGTAACATAATTCTAAGGTTGTCCTAAACTGCTATTTTCAGCTTTTCACGGGCTGAGCTAACGGTCCCGTAGTTCAGTTTTTTGTTTTTCCTTTTTGGTACATACACTTTTTCATTATTCAATTTCAGCCCACACCAAGTGTTGTTTGGCTAGAGAGATATGTGTTTGTCTTTCCACCATTTCATACCTATTCTTCTTACCAAACAACGATCCAATTATTAGAAGTTTCATTTGAGAATCGACCAATTCCTAGGTTCAATACACCATTACAATAATTTCCCTTCCCTGTAACCCCATGTTATCAAAGTTAGACCTAATTTATCAGTTCAAAAGAAAAAAAATTGAAATCAAATTGAAAATGTTTGTTCAAAAAATGTCATTGAGCAAACAATTTTTAGTACATAATTGAATTGATTTTTTAGTCGGATTCTCAGTTCGTTCGGTCGAATATATTCCAATCAATTTTGAGCGGAGCCTCAAAAGAAAAGAAAAAGAAAAAAAAGGTGCACTAAACATTTTATCACCCCCAATCCCCGGGGACATAGGGCCTGTAACTGTCCAAATTAATAGAGATTCGTGCAAAAAACACATCAGCGGCTAGGATCATACGTTTGCAAACTCTCATGCACACATTTTCACACTCTTTCTCAGGTTCCCATCGCAACAGATTCACATTAGTATTGTCAGTCAGTCAATTGTCACTCGTTTCAAATTATTCTACTCATTTCAGCAGTCTCCCTTCACACACTGCTCCACGTTCAAGAGTAGGGAATTGCGCTATGGAGGAGAGGCCAGAGACTGAGCTGATATCAATACCAGCGACCCCACGCGCGTCCACACCAGGGATACTGACGCCGGCCGGGCTTAGGTCGCCAAGGGTTGTCCCGAAAGAGGCGGCAGGCGGCTCCACCAGGTCATGGACGCCGAGCTCATTCTTGAGCCCAATTGGGACTCCGGTGAAGAGGGTGCTGATAAATATGAAGGGTTACTTGGAGGAAGTGGGGCATTTGACTAAGCTTAATCCACAGGATGCTTGGCTTCCCATTACTGAGTCTCGGAATGGGAATGCGCATTATGCTGCATTTCATAATCTCAATGCGGGTGTGGGGTTCCAGGCCTTGGTCTTGCCTGTTGCTTTCTCCTTTCTTGGGTGGTATGCTTTTTTTAAACTCAAACAAAATAAGCTACTTCTAGGGTTATTATTGTTCAATCTACTTTTTGTTTAGGCTCGTTCTTGATACTGTTACTTTCTGTTCATCTCCTAGTCTCTACTTGGAATAATATACTTCATTTGCCTTGATTAAGAATGTCTCTACCACGACAAGACTAGTTCCAAATACATTTGGGGTCGTTGTTAATCTATAGCAATCTTCCTCCCTTAATCGAACTTGGGAAGACTGGAAAATATAGGCGGAGTTTCTTGTTTACCTTGCATATAAGCAAAATTATCCATAAATCCTTGAAATCCTAAAATTCTAATGGGACTTTTTCGTGTCTCTCTTACTTTTTCCAACCTTATCACAGACTTGAATTGAATGGAAGCAAGAAAAATCCTCGATCAAGCTGTATTCTTTATTTCGTCTTTTCGCTTTTAGGTAGAAATGTCAACAAGGTTGGGGCCTCCCTCCGTGATCATCTTTTATATTCAAACCAAGACAGTTGGATATTGCTTTTTTAGTTAATGCATATCTGGCTTGCCTTCATAGTATCCATTGTGGTTTTATCATCAGCTTAATACGAGGAAAACTTGACAGACAGCTAAATTAAGGATTTTCCTTGTTGTGATGATGCAGGAGCTGGGGAATAATTTCCTTAATTATAGCCTACTTATGGCAGTTATACACATTGTGGATTCTTGTTCAGCTACATGAAGCTGTTCCTGGAAAGAGATACAATCGATATGTAGAACTTGCACAAGCAGCATTTGGTGAGCTGCGTTTATATTTGACAAACAATTCCAATTTACCCTGATGAATCAGGGAATAAATTATTGCCAACGACTGAGTGACTTCATGATTTCAGGGGAACGTTTAGGCGTTTGGCTTGCTCTCTTCCCTACTGTTTACCTATCAGCAGGGACTGCAACGGCTTTGATTCTGGTCGGAGGGGAGACCATGAAATTATTCTTTCAGATAGTTTGTGGTCCACTATGCCAATCAAATCCTCTCACTACCGTCGAGTGGTATCTGGTATTCACATCCTTGTGCATTGTATTATCCCAGCTTCCAAATCTCAACTCTATTGCAGGGCTTTCACTCCTAGGTGCTGTAACAGCCATCACGTACTCGACCATGGTGTGGGTGCTCTCTGTAAGCCAACAGAGACCAACATCAATTTCGTATGAGCCACTTGCATTGCCTTCCTTTACAGCTTCTCTCTTTTCAGTTTTGAATGCACTTGGTATCGTAGCATTTGCATTTCGTGGACACAATCTAGTCCTCGAAATTCAGGTTTCTCTTTCTCTCTTGTGCATATAATCACATGCTCAATACTAATTACATGTTTGGTATGTTGGGCTGAACAATATTGCATAGAATAAATGAAAATTTGTTTCGTGTATTATCTTGTGCAATATTGTCCAATATTGTGTATCAAACATGCTTTGAATTCAAGAATTGCTGAATGGGTTCTCTATTACATCTTACAGGCAACTATTCCATCAACCTTCAAGAGACCGGCTCATGTGCCAATGTGGAGGGGAGCCAAGATTGCTTATTTCTTCATTGCCATTTGCTTGTTCCCTGTTGCCATTGGAGGTTATTGGGCCTACGGAAACCTGGTAGTCTAAAACTCAACCAATTTCCTTGATGTCCTAGAATCATAATGAGCATATATATATACTCTAGATGTCTAAAAGCAATGGATAGTCTAGATGTTGCTTTTATATTCATGCTAACTTATCTTCCATTTTGTTGCATCATTTATGCTTAAAACGTGTTTTTCTTATCTCTTCGTTCAGATGCCTTCTGGAGGAATGCTTAATGCATTATTTGCATTTCACAGTCGTGATATTCCAAGGGGACTTCTTGCTATGACATTTCTTCTTGTTGTTTTTAACTGCTTGAGCAGTTTCCAGATATATTCAATGCCCGTGTTCGACAGTTTTGAAGCCGGCTATACCAGCAGGACAAACCGGCCTTGCTCAATTTGGGTGCGTTCTGGCTTCAGAGTATTCTATGGGTTCATCTCCTTGTTAATAGGTGTTGCACTTCCATTCCTCTCGAGCCTTGCGGGTTTATTAGGAGGACTCACTCTTCCAGTTACCTTCGCTTACCCATGCTTCATGTGGGTTCTCATCAAAAAGCCAACAAAATACACCTTCAATTGGTATTTCAACTGGATCCTTGGTTGGTTGGGTATTGCTTTTAGCTTGGCCTTCTCCATTGGGGGTATTTGGAGTATGGTGAACACTGGACTTAAGCTGAAATTCTTTAAGCCCAACTAAGAATGAAGTGAAGCACAAAATTTCAGATGTACTTTTTCTACTGTGGAATCTTAATTTAGATGTTATCTTATGGTGTTTTGATCATAGCTAGATTGTTGGCGTGCATTTCTGAATTGAGAAACATAAAATCTGAAACTTGTGTATAAATTTGTAATCTATAGTGTCAGATCATTTTCCATTTGCTTTACAAAATGGTGTGGAGTCAGTTACTGATTATCTTTACCTAGTACTCAGCATTAGGAATTAATATAGCATCAAAGCATAGAAATATCTTTAACTCGTACTCAGATTCAATAGATCGAGAAACACGAAGAACAATCATGTTGATAATGTATCATAAATACAAAAAAATTCAACATAAGAAAGCTTTTCGTGTAAATTACGCAATTAATAGGATTTTTGGAGCCGAAGCAAGTCACCATGAGTTTCTAGGACTAGGGAAAATCTGAAGGTAAAGCATATCATGCTACATTTGAAGCCAGGGGCTTATTTGTTATTATTGAAAAAGGGGGAGTTGGGGGTACGGAAGATTGGTCCACTCCGAAAAGATAAAATACAGCAAGCTGTGAACCACAGCTTCAAACTAACAGATATGAAGAACTTCTGAAAATATACAAGCATGCTGAAGAGCCAATGGCTGAAGTTCCGATAAAAAAGGGATCAATAGGTAAATTAACCATGACTTTGAACCAATCTTTCTTTGTCAATTTCTTGGCTTTAAGATTGCTTGCATTGGATGAAGTTTTCGAGTAGTAAGCCCAAGAGTGTCAACATTTTCTTCTTCTCCCTCCTTCAGTCTCCATTTGAACTCTTGTATTAATCTCCCAATGGCTATACAAGAAATCAACATTGCCTGGAGAGAGCCTGCACATACCCTCTTTCCAGCTCCAAAAGCCATTGTCTTGTGCATATCCATTGGATCATATTTCTCATTCAGAAATCTTTCAGGCTGCCACTGTTCAGGACACTCCCACAATTTTTTGTCCATATTGCACCCGAAAATATTTATACAAATCTGCACATTGCACAACATATTCTGCAGTTGGACTCCTATAGTAAATTCGAAAACATTAGAGGTTAGAGGAAGAGTGATAACCTCGGTTTCAGCTGGAATGTAGTATCCTCCTACTTGTGTATCTTCATGAACATATCTAAGAGGAACTATAGGTGCAGGACTGTGCTTTCTCAAAGTTTCATGAAAAACAGCAGACAAGTACGGAAGTTGGATTAACTTTTCCTCTGTGATTTTTTCATATCCACAGACATTTCGAATCTCCATATAAAGACGATCCTGTTTTATTAAAAGGGAATCACCATTAGATAGATTGTAAATAAACTAGAGCAATGGCATACAGGCACATTGCATGAGGGCGATCAAACCACCTGTCTCTCTGGATCTTTTGCAAGTTCATACATGGCCCATTCTGTGGTGAGTGAAGTAGTGTCTGATGTTTCAATTATGGCTTCCCATAGCAGCATAAGTATTTGTTGCTCCGAAAGAATTTTTGCTTTGGATAACAAGTAGTCAATGTAGCAGTTGAGTTCCTGATATTCATTTTAATACTGAATTATCTCATTTTCAGTTCAAACATAGGTTTAAAGTAAAAGTGAACTATAAATAGAATAGTGTGATAACTATAAATCTTCATTCCAATGAAGAGATAATAGTACCTTGCCGCAATCAATTCGTCTCCTCTGCTCATTAATGAGAACCTTCATCACAGCTGTCCTACGGAAACACATCTGCTGAATTTTATTTTCGAAGCTTTTGTTGGGAATCCACCTTAGGTAAGGAAAAAAATCTCTCCAATCCACCTCAATAGCACCCTCCATTTGATCATGCACTAATATCTTCATTATCTCTCCTTTTGACAGGGTCATTCCAAGTTCCTCAACATAAACCGACTCAATATCCTTTCCAAGAGCCTGCATTCCACATAAAATGCTTTAAATATTATCAATTGCACTCTAATTACAAGGATTGTTTATGACCTTAGGTAGATGTGAACAGACATACTTCTTTCAGTGCCAATCCAAAAAGCTCAGGCTCGAATATATTCCGAAGGTATACAGGTTGAAGAGGATCCTTTTCTACACGAGCATGTAATTGTTCAGAAATGTTTATTATCATGGTATCCCTGTGAACACGATGCTGTTTCTGGAAGAATCAGCAAAAACAGTGTTAATAGTGCAGTAACATTTGCAGTAAATAATCAAGCTTTGATCAGAGTCATATGTGATTTGAACCTGTGCATTAGGTCCCAAAGTACTTGTGAGTATATGCCGTTTTACTATCTTGTGAAATTCACCATAATCACTCATTGCAACCATACTTTTATCAGAAGTAAGGCTCTTTAACGCATTCGATAGCTTTCTTGTTGAAATGGATGAGAATCTTGTCACCATAGCCTAAAATAAACAGGAGGAATACAACTTAGCGAGCATAACTTGACAGAAAAGAGGAAGCCGGAATTTTTTTATCATCCTTTGACTTACAGAATAGAAGTTAACAACAATATTCAGAAGAAAGCAAATATTGATTCAATTATACAATCAAACCACAAACAATTCTTCTTAGTAGTTCCCAAAATGTACAAATTTACTTTCCTGCATTTCATAGAAATAGTAGCCAAGAGCAACAGAGTTTTTATTACCTCCTTAGCAACATCATTGGAGTTAAGTACAACCATAGAGTTGCAACCTGTTCTGATAGAATAGACAGGACCATATTCCTCGGCCCATTTGGTAAAAGTCCTGTAAGGTTTCTTCTCTTTTAATTGCAGTAAATTTCCAATCAATGGAAGCCCTGGCACCTCTGCATTCAATACAATATTTCTCAGTTATACCTATAAAACATGAGCCTTGTTCTGTACTGCCCATTTTCGGATGATTAAGGAATGGACGAATGATAGACAATAATCTCTAAATCTGATTACCACTTGAGTCATATATTCAAATCATTAAACGTTCAAGATCAAACATCTTCCAAATCATAACCATTCAAATAATCAATTCAACGAGCATCATGCAATAATTTTCTTCAAGAACCGGATCAAGAGAAAATCAAGACTGATACGAAAGCACCTGGTGGAGAAGGGAGGCCCGAGGATCTCCTCTTATGATCATTCAAATATCCTCGGATGAACAACAAAGTGATGACGACAAGAACAGCAGCTGTAATTGCAGTTCCCAAAGGCAGTGCTTCAAGATTCAGAATTGCATCCATTTGCCCCCTTCAAATTCAAATAAAATCTAAGAAATCAAAAAGGGGCATTTCAACTTTAAACTTGTTAGAAAGAGAACTACACGCACCATATCACTGCACACTCTTCTAATCAACTTTTCACTACCCAGAATGTAAAATAACTATTCATAACATAAAATAATGTGAAGATGTGTGTTACCTGTGTGTGTGTGGAAGATGATTGATGCTTTTGGAGCCATCGACTGTGGCCAGTGGGTTTCTTATAAGAATTAAGCTAAATGAACATAATACTTAACATAGGGGTTGACCGACCTCTCACATTGTACGTGGGTCCCAACCTGAATTAAATAATGCTGACATTCCCCATGTGTGTGTTGTGTCATCCCCTATGTCAAGCATTATGTTTGTGTAGCAAAACTCTTCTTATAAACTTGGGAAATAGTAAACTGTTGATGCTTTTCTCTCTTCACGCGCCCCCTCAGATGATACTACCGTTGGACAATAGTGAGGTTTTGGCTTCATGTTATTGTCCAGAAAAATTACCAATATAAAAGATAAAGACATATAATGAAGAGTAATATCAATTTAGTTGGCATTATTAATGACATTAAATTGCAAGTTCAATTAAATGAATCACATAATTTCACATTTAATTAAACATATCACATAATGTCAGATAAATTAGTGCCTAAATTTAATGTTGGTAATTTGGCAAATGAAATAGTCAATGTCTAGCATTGTCGTCACGCTAAAGTCTAAAAGTTGAAGTGATAAACTCGACCAACTAATTTGCATAAATGATTTTTTTTGCTTACGTGTACTTTTTAGAATTTATCGTAAGTTATTTGGGTCGTCAAGTAAAATTTATGAGATCGACTGAATGAATGATGTTTATGAGATCGTCAAGTAAAATTTCTAGAAATGATAATTGCCAATTTTTATTTGAAAAACATCTTTATGTTAAATTTTGTTCATGTTATTTTAGTAGTTTTTTTTTAGTGTGTGACCATTTGATATTCTATGTTAAACAGTATTTCAAGATTTTATTAAATATGAATCTTTTTTACTTAAATTGTTGATTTATCATTATCGATTTATCGATCAAATCTCAAAATTTAAATAAAAGTGAATTTCCGTTTAAATTAGATAAAGATATTTTTTGTAACATTTCAAGTCTATTTTTATATTAAAAATAAAATAAAATAATGAAATAAATTTCGGCTTTACATGTAGCACCATTGATACTAGATATCATTACTCTATAATTAATTACCCTTCAATAATCATAATCACGCAATTGAAATGGTTATCTTGGATCCAAAATTAAATGATAATGTTATTTTTAGTATCAGTTGTGTTAAAGCATTAGTTTAGATGATCACATTTGATATATTCAATTACATAAATCATTTAATATTGTGTTTAATAATAACATTTTAAGCTAATATATTATCTGTTACTATTATTTTTAGATAAGAATTAAAGTTTTACATTAGAAAATGGCATAATATATTACTTTTTAGGGTAATAGGTATGATGACCTTTGCTTTTATTGCGAAATAACTCCACATCCTTTCATCTTGGCTCAAAATCCTTCTAGATGACCTTTTCTTTGTGAAATACAACAATTTTTTTTTTTTTTCAATTTTTTCAATAAATCCTTGTGAAATGACGAATATATTCCCATCTTTAAATAAAACAAAAAAGGTAAAGAAGAAAAATAACGAATTAATTGTAATAGTAGTCTCAAAATTTTCAAAAAAATACAAACGAGTCTCAAATAAATAATTAAAAATTAAATGGACGTATAAGTCAGTTTTTATATTTTATTTAAAGAATTAGATTAAAAAAATAATTTTCACTAAAATTTATTTTTTATTTATAATATTATCGAAGTATAAATTAGTTTTATTTCATATTAAATGAACTTATTGTAATTAGTATATATTATATATATATATATATATATATACATACATCAAATTGATGACGATAATATCATTAATTATATTAGCGACGATTATCAATAGTTCTTTGATCATTGATGATCGACGTAGAAGTTATTTATGTTACTGGCCCAAGCTTCTCACTTTTTATCAAAAGCCTATTGATAATCATCGATTATATAATTGATGATACTGTGACCATTCATTTACATATAAAAAATATATACTAATTACAATAAATTCATTGAAGATGAAATAAAAATAAAAACTAATTTATAAGTTGATAATATTATGAATAAAAGAAATAAAATATAGTAAATATTATTTATTTAGTTTAAAATTTTAAATAAAATATAAAAACTAAATTATATTTTCATTTAATTTATTAATTATTTATTCTGGACTTGTTTGCATTTTTTTTTTTGAAATTTTGGAACTATAGTTGCAATTAATTCTTTATTTTTTCATTTATTTTATTTAAAGAGTAGTGTACATTCGTCATTTCAAATTATTGAGAAAATAAAAGAAAATTTTGTATTTCGTAAAGAAAAAAAATGTCATACAGGGGGTTTTACGTCAAAATAAAAGGATATGAAGATATTCCATAATAGAGACAAAGGTTAAAGAGTTTTGTGTCAGTTATCCTATTTTTTAATAGTAAGGCTGTGTATCACATAATTTGACTTTTTCAGAACAAAAACATCGACGAAGATTTAAATATGCTTATAGGGAACTTTTAAAATGATACTTAGATCTTTTATATTTTTATATTGGATATGAATTATGATTAAGCACTTTAAAAGTGAAATGTTACTATTTAGTTAGAACGTCATGCAATATATAATTTGCTGTTCTGATAGAACAAAAATTATTTTGATGCCTTAGAATCTACAACTCAAGTTTTGAAGAGAGAAACTTCTTAGATTAGGACAAATATTCACATTTCAATTTTCAACATTGAAACTCCCAATTTAAGAAAAATGATCAAATTTATTGGTTAATTAAAATAAAAATAACGTCGAATAAAAGGGAGGTGCACGAATACTCATCCATGATTAAGGACCCGTTTGCCATGAATTTTGAAAAATTAAAAGGAGCTTTTAAGACTCAAAAAAGCCTTGGACCTATTTTGTTAATTTCATGAAAGTATTTCTTCTATTTAGAAGAATTTTTAGAGAAGGTTGGTCAAACGTGACTTTCTGTACTTTATTTTATTTCTTCTTTCATGTTCTATTTCGCTTCATTTTCATGCTGCCTTTAGGCCGCTTCTTACTTTAAAATATCAACACTTCAGTCTTTCGTCTCTTTTAATGTTGTTCATCTAAATTTTAGATGATTTTTGATTTATGATGGTGGGTCATGTCAAGTTGCTCAATGGATTTTGAATGCATATTTAGATATTGAACAACGTGACATCGACATAATGCATTCACACTTTTTGTAGATTGTAGATAAATAGATGTAGCTGTATTAGTACTTCTTTGGTTGGACAGCCAAAGAAGTAATGTAAATGGGACTCCTCGTTATAATCTAGAAATGGCATAAGTCACAGAAATACAGAAAAATTAAGCACAGCACTGGTCTAGAAGAACTGAAAAATAATGGACTTTACAAAATTTCCGGAAAGAGGATGCGAACCTTTTTCTCCCCAGAAATAATGGCATTACTTTTTCAATTTCCCAATCAGACCCATACCTTTTCAATTTCCCAAAAAGCTCTCCCTCAGAAGATTTTATCTCTCCAGTACTAGAAGTTCTTCAGAACAGTAAGAACTTGAACCCATCTAAAATTTTGAAGTTTTGATGCTCGTCTTCTTCTTTTTTATTTTTATTTTTTTAACAGTAAGTCTGGATCCCTTTTTGACTCTTAATTTTCTTATGGACTTTAGGTTTGCAGGAAAATGGAGGATGGTTGCATGGATTGCCGGCGCAGAGAGGAAGATATATACTGGTCTCATTTCCAAACAGTCCAATTCTGTCAGATTCTTTCTGGGCATTTTGATCAGCAGCTTGTAAGTCTAGAGTCTTCTTCTTCCTCGTGTACGTGTGATTTTGTCTGTTTATATGTTTTGCAGTGCGTATTTTGAGAAAGAGAAAAGGTGTAACTGAAATCGTGATGCATGTTATATATCTCAGTCTTTTAATTTTTGTATTGGGATTCTTTGATTTTTAGTGAGTTGTCCACTGTTGAAAAAAGGGGTCTTTTTTTTTTTCAAAGGTCGTTAACTCTGAACTCAAATTTGAGTTTTTCTGCAAAGATTCGAAGGCGATCGAGTGCGTAGATGAACATTTTAAGAAGACCCCACTACAACATACTACCACAGCAGCAACATGTCCGTTGGAAATAATATTATTATAACATTTACGATGCTGTCGTAAATATTTTTATTTTTCTGTGACAATTTCCTAAGATTCCTTCGTAAAAGGTATTTTTTCCGAAGCTTGAGGTAGACAAAATTTCGTGCGTCTACTCATTACTCTGTTAGTTAGAATGAGCTAGGGACAAACGGAGTGCGAAGTTGGGTAACTAAATTTTGATTATTGAAAGTGTAAGGACCATTTGCAAGCAACACAAAGTTCAAAAACCAACAAGGTTTATAACCCATCCTTGTACATGTTGCCACATAACCGGTGCATAACATATCTCTTGCCCATAGTGAGCAGGAGATCAGCTATGCTCTAATGGATACTTAATTGTTTAGATAAGAGACGGCCTATGCAAACGTAATGTTATCTGATAATTATTGAGAAAATAGAGTTAAAAATATATTTGAAATGGCAATGGGGAGTTTGAATTTTTTTAGTAGGAATCTCATTTAGTTTTCTCCGTGGCTCTTGTTTATGTGCTCCCACTTGAATATACTTCCTAATTTTAATGAAACTATGACATTGAAAACAAATATTTTCTTATAATATATCATGTTATTTTATGACTCTGTGTTTACTGAGCAAATTATATATTATGTGAATCTGCCAACAAAACATTAGTATCTTGCACAAGGTTCATAGGAAGTATGAAACATGAGATTTTTTGTATTGGTCATAGAGTACTTTCTGTCAGGTCTTGAAAACATATGGAAAAAGAGTCACGTTTAATGGTCTTTTAACTGATGATAATCATGTGCAGTGTGATTTTAAATGCATAAAATCATTTACTTGCAGTTTGTTATAGATTGTATTTCGAAAAGTAGACTGCAAGAGCTAAAACAAAAAAGAAAAGTTTATTGATGCAATATAATTCCAAATTCACAAGGCAGGCATAATGCATAAAGGAATTGTATGAATAAGCTTCGGAATTGGACACCATTCAACTGCAGATATAAAAAATGATAGAATTCGGGGATAAGATGTAAAATTTTCACGCAACGCAGAAAAAGAGAACAGAATGTAGTGGTGGATTTTTAGATCCATGAGCACATGGGCTATTTATTTGATTGGATTCAATCCTGCTGTTTGTTAATTCAATGGATCATTCATGTTTTGCAGCATAGGACATCATGTCAAAAATTTATATCACAAATGTAAACCCAGTCATAACTTTCAATATGAATGCAGGCTATCCCGAAAAAGTTCACTAACAATGTGAGAGATAAGTTAGCTGGAACTGTAACTCTGAAAGGTCCAAGTGGGCATATTTGGGATGTAGTATTAACCACAAATGGTGACACATCCATTCTCCAACAGGGCTGGAAAGCTTTTATCGAAGATCACTTTCTAGAGGAGAATGATATTTTGATATTTAAGTATAATGGAAATTCAAGATTTGATATTTCGATGTTTGACCAGAGTAGTTTGTGTGAGAAAGAAGCTTCATATTTTGTGAAAAAATGTGCACATAGAGAAATCGAACTTGGCTGTAAGAGAAAGAGAAACACGCCAGGAAGGACTGAAGATACTGATGACCTCTTCAATGAATCTTCTGATGATGATGTTGTATACCATCCAGTAAAAAGACCCAGAAATGATGCTGCAAAAACACGTACCTCATCAAGACTTAATACTCAAACTAATGCAAAGCTGCCGAGAGGAAAAAAGAGTAAGTTTTTCCTAGATTCCATTTTGTTACTTTTAAGAAAGATTGTCACTGAAGTGACAAAAGCTTCATGTTCTTATTAGTCAGACTCATTTGATGTAGAGTTAAAACGGGGTTCGAGCAATGGTTATGTATATCGATTGCAGCTGACATCTCTTAGAAGGGCAGTAACTGAAGAGGAAAAGGAGAAGGCGAAAGAAAAGGCGAAGGCACATGCAGCATCATTGGAAAACAGTTTTATTTTAGTTATGCGACAGACACATGTCTACAAAGGATTCTTCATGGTAACATTACAGTATTCAAATAAGCATTTATTTAAATTTAAAAGGGTTAAAATACACTCATTGCTGCTATACATAATTTAATGTTGTTTCCAAGTTGATCATTGAATTGAAACATTTGTTATGATTTGGTCACTCTTTCTATCTATATTTGACTAACAGAAAAGATGGTGAGACCATCGAGTGATTTTGCCAACTAGACTGCCACATAAACATTTCATTTGTCAAAACTAACAACATGGATGAAATGACCAAATTATAACAATGGTTCAAGTTCAGCGATCAACTTTAGACAAAGTTTTAAGTAGATCAAACCGGAACAAACTGGTCTTTAGTGATCAATATGAAATTTCATTAAAGGTTCAATGACCATGAGTGATGCTAACCTGTCATTAAAATTTTCAGTTTCTCTCTTTCTTTTCTTTCTTCTAGTAATTAGTTTACTTTTCTTGATGGGGTGAGAATTGAAGAATTAGAAATTTCTTACTACTAACTATATCATGGTATATTTGATGCAGTGTGTCCCTTCTGAATGGTCTAGGGTACATCTCCCTCAGAAAACTCAACAGGTTGTTCTCCGCCTTAATGAGAAATCATGGAAGGCCAAATATCATAGGACAGGTTTTGGTGGCAGACTGATAAGTGGTTGGAAGAATTTCGTTCTCGACAATTTCTTAGAAGAATTTGACGTGTGCTTGTTCCATCTAGCCAGTAGAATAAATGACTGCGTCATTCTAGACGTAAGTATTTTCCGAGTCGTAGAGGAGGTGATTCCACCGTCACGTGTTCCTCGGGCACCTCAAGGTCGTGGTATGCGTGGGAGGCCGACCAAGACTCTGAGGAACAAGGAGAAAGAAGCTGATGATGAATGAGTTCGGCATCTCTAAATCATATTTTGGCATAGCTAGCTGGGTTTGGAATGACATTAACGCCTCTAATGTTTTGCTTCATGTTGGACAAGTACCTACTCTCTTTTGGACTGGGTTACCCTGGAGCTCTTTATTAAGTGCTAACTTGTTTTGTGTAAGTTGTGGTCTGTTGTGTCTGCCCGGTGGTGCTAACTTATTAAAATCAGTTTAAAAAAAAATCAGTTGGAATGACGTAAAATAACTTATTTTTAATCATAATTTTTTTAAAAAAATAAATAATTAAACAGTTCAAAGCATGAAAATAGAATATTTTAACATAAATCATCACCAATGACGAAATGTACTAATTAATAAAAGATTGAATATAAGAATTCAAAAAAAAAAAAAAATTCGGAAAATAATTAGAACAACACGTCGTGATTGATGAATTTAACTTAAATTATAATATAGTGTAATAAATAAAAATTATGGTGCCAATATAACCACAAACGAAAATAGGAAACTGTAAAAATAAAGAATATATAGGAGAGGAAGAAGAAAATTTGAGGTGGCAGCAGAGCAGATTATCAAATTTGTGCAACGTGCAGTAAATCAGGTGCATGCTGGGATAAAAGGACGACAAGTCAACCCCCATTTCAATTTCTGAAAAAGGTGTTTTTATTTCTCCACTACCAGTAAGAGAACTCCGGTCCTATAAAATTCTGAAACCCTCTTTTTTTGTTTATTAATTTTCCGTTTTCGATTTCAGCTTTGAAGAAAAATGAGGGATGAATGTATCGATTGCCGTCGCTGGAAGGAAGATATGTACTGGTCCCGTTTCCAACATGTTCAATTCTGTCAAATTCTGTCTGGGCATTTTGATCAGCGGCTTGTGAGTACAAATTTTTCATCATCTTCTACGTTCGCGTTTGTGGTTGTGGTTGTGTATGGGCCTATGTTTTCTAGAGTGTTTTGTGAAAAATGCATTTTGAAGACGGTGCAAAGAAAACTAAGGAAAAAAGAGATATAAAATAAAATCGTCTTCAGTTTCTCTATGCATGTAAGCATCTGTACGTCTTTGTGTGATTTTGTTTAAAATTTTGTTTATGCTATTTATTTTAAAAGATTATTTTTTTTTATGGAGAAGCACAAAATAACAAATCATTGACCATGGTGAACATATCCTGAGATTAAGAAGTTTTATTCATGAGAATCTGCACCATTTGTTAAGGCCCTTTCAGTTCCACCTCAATTCCTTCTGGCCCAATTTGGATGACAAATTGTTTCAATAATCTGGCTACATTCAGGCATGTCTAAAGAATTGATTCAGTTGATACTAGTGTACCCCAACCATAATCATAGAAAGAGTCCGTTAGGAGACTTAAGCATATGTGTGTGTGTGTGCACGCGTGCGTGCGTGCGGGCATTACCATTCCCTGAATCTACAGACAAACAAGCATACCAACTCCCCTGTCCAGCTACCACCCAGCCCCTCCTGCTCCTCGAGTCATGCCCCGCTCCACCTATGTTTCCAGCCACGTGGCATCTACCCTCTTGTTGCTGCTGTTTTTATATGGGATTGTTCCAATTGGTTCGTGAGTTCATTTAAGAGGAAAAAAAGAGATAATAAAGACGGGGTTGATTTGGAGTCAATTTGACTAAGTCGGTGTTGCTTTTTGACTAGTTTAATAGGAAAAAGGGCATTTAAAAAAAGGGATTTACAAGTCATTTGAAATCAAAACAAAGCTTCTTAAACAAAAAATTAAAATATAGGGTCATTTTTCGCTATGCTACATTTTGATACTTCCACTTTGAAAAACTCCTCTTTTACCCATTGACAACTATTTTAGGTTGATTAATGAAATGAGTTCTAAGTGATTCAAGACTTAGCCGAGCGCTAGCAAAGCTAAATTCTCATAGGCGAGGCGCTTCGAGTTAGCGAAGCTTGATTGTGGAAATTGCTGGTGAATGCAGAATGTATAACACCAAATTGAAAGATTATAAGCTGGAAGAAGACTTCATAAGTAGTCAGTTTCTAAATTTGAGTTTGATCCATAAGGATGCCTAATTTTGTAGACAGAAAGGGTCCTAAGCTTGCACATGTTGGCTGCCCTGTCGCTGTCTTGACCTTGGGCCTATTTGTCCCATCTGGTTGATAGTAAAGCTTACTTTTGTTAAAGAGATGTTCTGATTTTATTATTTATTATTATTTTATTGAGACAGAGGATGGTATTCTAGTCAGATAGCTAATTATAAGTTATTCAAATGAGAATGCATGTAAATAGACGATCTTATTTTTGTCCTAGGTTAAGTACGGCATATGAATTTTGACTTCCGGCAGACAAAATCCTACTGAAAAGAGTTAAAAGCCATTGACTGTTAAATTGATCCATCTCTTTAAGAGAAATCTGTTTAGAAAATAGTTATCGGAGAAGTTGAGGAAAGCCACTAATATTCACCTAACATTTGACTGTGTATGATTTAGTTCTTTGTCAAAGTTTTCTTAGTTAATGTAAGATCTTTAGAGAAATGATTTGGTCCCTCATGTGCAACATTTAGGAACAATAATCCCAATACATAATATATAAAGGGCTTGGCTTCTCTTAACTATGTTACAGTCTTGTACTGAGTATTTTTTTCCTTTTTCATGGGTAATGCTTTGCGTGCAGGTACTTGAAAAATGATAAATTTAAATTTTGATTTAAATATACACACAAGGTATAATTGTTGTATGCTATCATATAGACTGACATCGACTCTGCATGCATAAATTCCACCTTCTAGAGTCTCTTTGATCTTTACAATTATTTGATCTTGAATGCATAAACTATTAACTTATAGATGGTATTCAAGTTGTAGTCTGTCAGAGCAAGAACAATTTCTTTTTCTGTTCAACTCAATTCCAAAAGCACAAGGCAGGCATAAATCATAATGCACAAAGGAATCATAACAATAATAATTATGTTTGGGAGTTGGGAAACCTTTCAACTTTAGATGTACTACTAAATATAGTTTGGTGATCGATGCAATATTTTTAATGTAATGCAGAAAAAGAGAATAAAATTTGTGAGTGCATTCTGCTTTTTGTTCATTCAATTAATAATTCGTTTTGCAGCATAGTCTTTCTTTTTGGTTCTTTCTCTGGTACTTATTTTTATATGTATATTTAATGTAAACCAGCTATAACTTTGATAAATATACAGGCTATCCCAAAAAAGTTTGCTAACAACGTGAGAGAGAAGTTAGCTGGAACTGTAGCTCTGAGAGGTCCGAGTGGGCACATTTGGGATGTTAGATTGACAACAAATGGGGATAAATTTGTTCTCAAAGAGGGTTGGAAGGCGTTTATCGAAGATCATTGCCTAGAGGAGAATGATATTTTGATATTTAAGTACAATGGGAATTCAAGATTTGATATTTCGATGTTTGACCAGAAAAACTTCTGTGAGAAAGAAGCTTCATATTTTTTGAAAAAATGTGCTCATAAAGAAATTAAATCTGGCCGTAAGAGACCGATAACCATGCCTGAAAAAACTGATGACAAGATCAACGAACTCTTCAATGAGTCCTCCGATGATGCCGTTGACTCCTGTTCAGGTAAAAAACCCAGGAAAGATGCTGCAAACACACCAGGGTTAAGAAAAGAGAGGAGAAAAAAGAGTAAGTGTATTCTAGATCCAACCTTGTTACCTAATCGAAATATGATGTTACTAAAGAGATACAACCTTCATATTCTTAAAGCAATACTCATTTTGATGTAGAGGGCAGACAAGGTTCCAGCAGTAGGATTAATGAATGTCCCTTGCAGCTGACATCTCGTAGAAGGGCAGTAACAGAAGAGGAAAAAAAGAAAGCAATAGAAAAGGCAAGTGCAGCATCATCTGGAAACAGTTTTATGGTTGTTATGCGACCGTCACATGTCTCCAATGGATTCTACATGGTAACATGCAATGTGCAATATGCTTTTATAAGTTCAAACTCTCTCTCTCTCTCTCTACCTTTTTTTTTTCTATTTATTTATTTATTTGATGCAGTCTATCCCTTGTGAGTGGGCCAGGATGCATCTCCGTCATAAAAGTCAAGATGTTGTTCTCCGTGTTAAAGAGAATTCATGGCAGGTCAAATATCATCAAAAAGCTTATAATAATGGCGGATTGGATGGTGGTTGGAAGAATTTTGTTTATGACAATTCCTTAGAAGAATTTGATGTGTGTTTATTTGATCTAGCCAGTGGACCGAATGATGGCATCGTGTTAGACGTTCAAATTTTCCGAGTTGCAGAGGTGATTTCACCAGCACAAGTTACTCCGGACACCTCAAGCCCAATTACGGATGGAGGCCGACTCGAGGAACATGATGAATGAAGGCGATGATGCATGAATTGGGATGCTTTTATTTTGATCATATCTTGACATAACTAGCTGGTTTTGGACTAAGAATTAACTGTCAAATATTTTAGCTTCGTGCTGGACAATCTTTTAGGTTGGGAATTATGTTACCATTGTGAACTTTCTCATCAACTTATTTTGTAATAGTTATGGTTTCTGCATCTGTTCTTTGTTAATGCTTTTATTTATTTATTGTACTCAATTTATTTATTTAGGATAGATATTTGCCATTGTTGTCCCCTTAAAATCAACAAAACAACCAAATTAGTATATAAATAAATGTCAAATACAGCAGTTTCATTTACCACCTCTAGATATTGAGAAAGAGTTAAGATCGATGGCACAAGTTCACGGAAGGATTACACTAAAGGGCGTGCAAATTGATAAACAATGAAAAGTAGTTGTCGTCTCCCATGGAGATGCGGCTGCTAAACCATCATCTATCTGGTCGTCTCCTATATAATCTTGGTTCCTCAGTTTGATGGTCTCTGACATGCAGCAAATAGCTGCCAGCTGATAAAAGCCATCACTAAAGAAGTGAACAACTCAAAGCCTACTACCTTCGGTAAGTGCCACCCCAAGCCTCGTCTTAGATAGCTGAAAATTCATTCAGGAAAACACGCGTGAAAACCGCAAACCAATTTAATTCAATCAATAAATTGCCGCTCATCAGACGTCGTTACATTTGCTTTATTAGAGGATGAAAAGAAAAGTATTTGAACTCGGTCATTCATCTTTGGATTATCCCACACCCAGAAAATTACTATAAAATGTTGAAAGATTTAATGTATTTCTCCACACTATCAGGGTTTGTTACATGCTCAATCGTAGACATAGTAACCCCAGCATATCCCAAAAAATTAAAAAAAGCCTTGAAATTGGTTACAGCATCAATGTAGACACATCATCATAAGTAATATACAGATGCGTGCAGTTAACAAAATAAAGGAGGCCCTTCCAAAATGACTAGCAAACGTATATCATCTAGTATGGTAGACGACAAGCATACCTTGTGATTGATGGCATTGTTGCAACAATCCCAGCACAAACATATATTATAGGAATCAAAGTCTTGGGTTTATTTTTCCTAAGCCACATTAAGGACCCTAATGCAGCAAGAGATAAACTCAACACCTGAAAGATAGCACAACAAAAATATATCTCATTAAGGATATCGATACAATGAGAAAACATTGTCAAAACTGTGCAGAACAGCACAAACAAAAACTTGAAAGAAAGTTAGCAACTATAGCACATGAAATTAAATATCTAATGTAACATCTCCAGCGAGATGAATAAAGAAAATGTTGGATACCATATAAAGTTAACATGAAAGAATTGCTCCATACCAAATTAGCATTTGCTTCAAGACCCTGAAAAATATAATCCCAAGTAAATTCTAATCCTCTAGCACCCACCCAAAGGGGTGCTAATCTATGCAGGACAGAATCAGCAAAGGCCCACCCTGCCAACATCGAAAATAGAACCTTAAATGTCGAACAATCAATATTTAACTGATCGAAGAAGACAGTACGGTTATTGTAGAACAACTTACTTTCCATTTTATGTGGGTGCCAGATGTAAAATAAAAATTAATATGTAAGAGCATGCCAAAAGTATGCATAGACAGGTTCTCCATAAATTGATTTGTCAAAATTGTGATCAGATTCTTTCCAATAAAATAGGATTCGTGAGCCTGATGAAGTTCCCCAATCTGACAGCTCATAAGGTGGTTGAAAGGCAGATATTTGGCAAAATAGGCTACAGTGAGAAGATAAAAGACACAACTAAAAACTGGCAGAGAATGATTGCTCGTGTTTTAGGAGGTAGTTCTTTCTCTGATTGCTTTCATTGATTTCCCATTTTTCTTTAGAAACGATGGCTATCATTGAAATACTACCACACCCACTTGGGCCACTTTCCACCAACTAAATTGTCAACAGCCATTACAGTTATAGATGAAATATTACTGATAACAGCATGACAGCCAATCATTCCATATTTCCTTTTTTTCTTTCTTTCACCATCCTTTTTACTTGTTCTCTATGTGGGAGGAGGGGAGAAATGGGTGTGGGTGTGGGTGTGGGTGTTGGTGTTGGGGTAGAAGGAGGTAGGTGAGGAACAAAAACTGGCCTTACCACCCCCAACTCATTTTATTACTGGTCAGATGCTTAGATGCGTGCATAAGGAGATAAAATGCATGTTTTTCATTTAAATTCTTCGTACTAGAGAATACGGAGAGTGTCTTGCCTCTTAATCTTTCTCATGGTAATATAAGTTGCTATACTCAACAACAGTTCACTCTCTAGGGGAAAAAAATAAAAATTGCTCCAAGCATTGCAGAACCTAAGGTATACTACTAAAACACATGGTTACTCAATCTGTTATTTTTGAAAGCTAACAATCAGTTGTCAAAATGCATAATATACAAGCCTTGCAGAACCGAAGGTATACTACTAAAAGACATGGTTACCCAATCAGTTGGTAAAATGCATAATATACAAATATGAAACCTGTAAATTGAACTCTGGATTAAAAATTTCTACTACAATCTCAAGCATCTCCCATGAAATGGGTAATTGCTACGCAAGGCAATGCTCAAAACTTGTATCACTCATGGGCAAATTCTAAAGATCATATATAGAGGTAGGCAATGGTATCATTTACAAATACAGGAGATACAGAATAAAGCATGGTATATAGAATAATATTCTTCTCTACTTCAGTTTCTTTTTCCTTGAGTGCATATAAACCGCAGAAAGTACCTGTCTAAAATTGTGATATAATGCCTAGCTGTATTTGGAAATATGTGCCTAGCACCAAATGTACAAAATTGAGAACAGGCAACACAGTGAAGGAAATTGAACGAGAATCTAATATGTCAAATTAATTCCTATCCAAGTTAGCAAGTACTTGAAGAAAAAGAATTGATGAAGAAAATACCCCAGATGTCAAATTACAAATAGCTTTCCCTGAAAATGATGATGATTGACAATATTCAAACGAAAGAAACCAACCATACTCACCAAGTCCAACAGCTTGGAATTTATGATATTGAGAGATATTCCTGTGAGTTAATTGTGTCAAGGCAAAGTAGAGACCGGCAACATCTACGAACCCAATTAAAGCTTTCAACAATTCCTGAGAAAAGAATGGATCAAAAGAAGAAATGAAAGTTCTTTCACATGTAGTAACCAATCCATTTGTTACATGTAAAGTTTGCTTTGAAAAATACGGAAAACAGAGAGAAGTAACCCATTGTCAGCCATTCAATGTGCCCCAAATATTTGCACCTAGCCCCCACCGCCAAAAGGAAAAAAATGCACACAAGGAAATATCCAACAAAAGTTTCCCAAATTTACTTTAGAATTTTGGGTTCAAGATACAAACCAAGGGAATATTATGATGAAATCTCCCTCCAAAAAATTTAATCTTAAAGACCCGAGGTAACCTATCATTATGAAATCTCGCTCCAAGAAATTTAGCCTTAATAATCCGAGGCAACCAATCATTTTATGTCATTTTTCATTAATTTCCTCTCTTAAATAAAGAATATGAGGAGCAAAACGGAGTGAAGATCAAAACATGGGCACCTCTTCTTCACAAGGGACTGTTTCTGATGTTACTTTTCAGGACATTCTCATAAACAACACTGATAATCTTGTCATCTTGGATATTGTCACAGTAAGCACTACGGTCATCAACGTGATTAAAGAGTCCAAATCAAAGGCATGAAGTTCATAAAAATATGTGGTAGTTTATCAACGGCAGCAAAAGTATGCCGAGCCAAGAAATTGAGTTTCTGGTCTTGACCTTACTTCGAATGAAAATAAAGAGCCAACAACAGCTACATGCTCTAACGTCGACGAAAATTTTCAAGGAAAAGGAGTTCCTTCACATTGTTATTAATAGTTTAGTTGTGTTTCTCACTGTTAGTACAGGCATCTAGTTTCTTATACATTATCAGGAAAAAATAATAAAAAGAGAAAAAAGAAAAGAATATGAGGAGCGATATCTAAATAAGCAAAACTTTATGGAATCACAATTTAACAGTTATGATACTAGTTAAGATTTCTAAGGAGCTATTACAAAAGATAAGGGATAGTTGATGCCTTGATGACAGCTTCTACAGGATGAAGGCCGATCCCTTTGCAAGAAGCACAGTAATTAAGTTACCCACAATGATACCAAACATGAGATAGACTGCAAAGCTCAGCAGTTTACAAATAAATTAATCTAGTTGATTACTTCCACAGCATTGTAGTTATGCAGCCGCTTCAAAATCTTAATGATTTGTTTCATGACTTAATATATTGAGGTTCTTCTTTGCAAGGCCTATCTAAATGATAAGTTTTCAACATTTACCCATGAAAATTAGTACATTTTTCCGATTACAACCTATATGAGTTTTCCTTGGTTCTCTCATGGTACTATATAATCAACTAAATGCATATATTATTAACACAGAGTAAAAGGTTAAGGAGACCAAGAACAACTTTACTTATGTGTGGATTTATTACTTTTAAAATTGAATTGTTACTGAAAAGTAGTAAAATTTGTATTATGAATAACCATAATCTTTTGAAGAAGAGCAAGTGGGCTGGAAGTATGAAGTATAACTATTAAACATAATTAAAAAAAAAGGAAAAACCGGCAAATAGAGTAGTACCTGATATGGATCAAAGCTGTCACTTTCAGATACATTAAGAAATGTTGCAAGACAGACAAGCTACAAAAGAAAAGGCATGGATAAGAGAGCCATGACAAGTGACAACAAAAAGCAGGAGCTAGAGGTGGAGGACGGAAACTAAATTTTAATGAGAAAAATCATGGACAGACAATCAATTAGCATGAGCAAAATGACCCACCTTTACTAAGGCTGTTATAAGATAAACCACAGCTGCTTTAATTGAGGTTCCAAGTGTATCATACTCAGATCTGCGGAAGAAAACTAGTCCTTGTAATAGCCATCTCATGTCTTACAATGTAATCCATAATGAACTAAAGCAGCAAGACAAAAAATTGATACCTAAATTATTAGCATAAATCGAAAATCTGGCTGTCAGTGATAACACATGATATAACCAAATCTACCGATCATAAGTAATTTAATGGAAAATTGAAAATTGATCCCAGAACTCAACAATCTAATAAATTTCGCTAGAAATTTACTTATATGATAATAAAAAACAAAAAACAATTATGTTTGGGTTACGAAAACCAAAAAAGTAAATGACTTTAACTTCAATTATAATAACAATGATAAGCACAGTCATCACAATAAACTCTAACTTCCCATTGTTCACCTAATTTAACAGTAAGCACATTATATATGTCAACAATAACCAAATATACCTATATTTACCTTGCGTATATAAAATTACGCAATAATATGGCATATAAGCAGAATCGAGATGAACAATAGCTCAAAGAACAAGAGAATTAAAAACTCAATTTCATTAACGATAGTACTAGATCCATTCATGATAACAAAGAGATCTAGTGAGGAATATAACATAATTAAAAAATACAAATAGAAAAATGTGAGAAAACTTTGAGATTACAAGGGGGTGGCCGAGTAGTAAACGGCGTGAGGGCCGAACGTCAGAATTGCACAGTTGAAGAAGTGAAACATCGTCATTTTCAGAGAGAGATTTGCAGAGCGGTGTAATCTGGAGTCTCGTGCTTCTTGTTTTTGAACTTTAGACTGAAAGGTTGAGGTGGACTGTCGTTCATAAGAAACAAATTGACGAAAGTAACACTAAAAAGAGGCCCAGTAATGATATTCGACTAATTTTTTTTTTTTTAACTATTAGAGGCTAAAAATAAATCTTTTAAATTTTATTTTCATTTAAATCTAGTACTGATCATTTTTATTTTCTCCTTCATTCCCATTTTTACTTTATTAGGTTCTCCATTTTCTTTTCTTCTTCAAATTTTCTTTTAAGATTTTATTTTTTATTTTTGTACTAGTTAATTTGTTTTCCTCGATTCAATTCGAATTCTCAACCCAACCCAAATAAAGTGATAATATAGGGAAATACTCTCAAAATCAAAAGAAATGTATTCAAGTCGGCAAATAAGTTTTCTATTTACTATTTTTATTTTTGATTTCTCAATCCTATTGAACGTTAGACTCATATTAACGAGTTGAATCTTTTTTCAATTTGGTGTAAAGTTTTGTTCCAGCAACAGAGACAGCTAATGCAACAAACTCCTATACTATGGGACAAAACCCTGAGAGGTCAAAAACGTAGATGAAAATTCTAGTATACGGGTGAAAGAAGAAGATCGAAATTGTACATGTTCCCGTATTGACAACTACGTACTCCTCGTGTACAGTCACATCAAAGTGTATTGATGAAGGGTTGTGAAACGCATTCTAATTTAATAGTATTGTCCTATTTAACAAAAAATAAAGCAAGGTATATAGATAACATTGTGTGGTGTGTTACATCTTCTTTACTAATTTATTACGATAATACTGGTGACATTGACTTTCTATTTGACAAACATTAAAATTAATTTTTTTTTTGGAGAAAATAAGTTTTAGAATAGTGATTTTTTTGGAGGATGTGTGATTAAAAAATAAGAAAAAATTTTAATTTACGTACACAATATTTTATTGTGAAAATGTGTAATTGAAAATGAATTTAAAAAAAAAAAGAATCTTGTTTTAATAGTTGTCAAACGGGACTGGGAATTAAAGACCTCGAAAATTTAAATGGAAACTCGACCCCGTCCATCAAATTTCTCCATTATTAAACTCAAAAGAAAGTCATTTTGCAAAAAGGAAAAAAAATTTAAAGGCAGAATTTTTCCATTCGTTGTCAGAAGGCAAATAATTCTTTTATAAAAATGTAATAAATAAGTTCGGACCAGAAAAGTATAAAAACCATTGCAAATTTACTCGTTTGGTCTCACTTATAGTAAATAGAAATATTTTGTTTTTTCAATCATTTAAAAAATTAGGAAATTACAATAAGTCACAGTCCAAATGTTTTAGCCTCCTGTTTGAGCCACATTATTTTTTTCATTCTCATTTTTCTACTCATTTTAAACCACATATTTTTCAATAAAATAATATTTTTCATCACTTCAATAACTTTTTTCTTATTTTTCAACCATATATTTCCCATCATATCAAATAAAAAAATGTATTCTTGGACTCAAAATGTGCACCAAACGGGAGCTTACTTTGGGTAATGTATGTCACATCAACTTCTAAAAGAAAATACATTAAGACAAGTGTGTATTTGCTAAAGGCGAGTACGTCAATTTGTTAATTTTTTTTTTTTTTTTTTGATATCTAGGTATCCTACCTTACACCAAACTATGTCCTGGACCACCCATCCCCGGCCCTCAGTGATTGGTAGAGGTTAACCGCGGAATATGCCCAAGTTGACCAGGGTCTGTGCACCCTTTCTACTCCTGACCTCAAGGGAGCCTTCCTCCATGAATATTACATATACATCACCAAACTGCTCCACCCAAATTGAGTATTACAACACTCAACTGCTCCATCCAGAAAACGAACTCCCCATCCTGAGTCTGCAAGCCCAGCAGTGCCCATCCTTTGCCAACTTGAATGTGCCCCGGGGGGTATTAATTTTCTTTTCTTATATGTATCCTAACTTGGTTTATTACTTGAGTGAATTATTATTTTCATTATTAAAAATAAGATGTAATTTAGTATTTGTTTATTATTATTTTTTTTAAAAAAATTGTATCTACTTTTTAATTGATCAAACTTCAATTTTAATTACACTTTTCATGAACCCATAAGTTTTTTGACTTTCTAACCAAAAAAATTATCAATTTTTATTAAAATTTGCTTAAACTTTTATTAACAGCTTTATCAAATAGCCCCTTATTATTGTCGAGCATAATTGACAAAAATTAATAGGGTTTTTCCCTTTGGACAGAAGTATGAACCCCTACAGATCTCTCACATGAGATGAGTCCCGCATGGGATCCACCTCAATAAAAAAGTAAAAAAAAAAAAATTACCCATCCCCTCCCATGTGTGCGTGTTCTGTGAGAACCCCTGTACATGCAGCTCAACTCTATTAATAGGTGATGTTAGATGTGCATTTATTATGTCGGCAAAAACCCATAAACCACATTTAATTGTTCCGTGCAAACTGGGGTGAAAGCGAGCACATATTATCTGACCCCATATATTCTTTTACAGTTTTTTCACTGTTGAGTTTGTATTCCTTAACATACACTCATATTTATGCACTGTTAAGTTCTTTTGTCCTTTGAAGATGTGCAACTTGGACTGCAGTTGCTTTCAATAGTGCTTCTCATTGAAAGCGATGAACTACCCATCTTAGGCTCTCAGATGGTCAGATATGAATTATTTCTTTAATTTCCACTTTACTATTTTCATTCATTTACATTAAGATTTAAAAAAAATTAAATTTTGTCTATTATTTTATTGAATTGTACGCACCAAAACTTGAAAAATATAGGATCAAGTAAATAAATTGGTGGGTGACTTATTTTACGGACAAATATTTCATCAACGGTGAAATTTTGAGTAGAAGTTAATGTTGATAGTATGTACGTATACCATTATTCCACTACATTTTTTCAAAAAATACTTGATACTTCCAATGGATGCATTATCTTTTCATTATGTGTTGATGCTGTGATCATTGGTGATAATGATCAAAGTATTTCTTCTCTTAAACATAAATTTAAGAAGATTTTTGAGATGAATGATCGGGATATTTGTGTTATTTTCTTTGTATAGAGGTTGCTTACTTTCCTAAGTATTATATTTTCTCCCTATTTGAGTGTACTAATGATATTGTCACTCATATTAGCTTGTGTGATATCCGATGTGTTGACACTCATATCAATCGAACGGTGGAGAGCATTCAATTGATCCAATTAGATATAGGGTGGATTTCTTGTTTATTTTACCATATTGAACTAGATATTATATACGCTTTAAATGCAGTAAGTCAGTTTGCTTCTGTTCAAAGAACATCCCAATGTTATAGAGCTTGTTTGGGAGAGAGTAAAATCGGATTAAAATTGAAAAATTAGTCGTTATTGTTGACTTTTATTAGATGAGTGAGACCCAATAACAGTTATATTTTCAATTTTAATTGGATTTTAAGTTAGACCAAACACGCCCTTAACACTAATCCCCCTTGACTGCAATTCTGACGTTGTAAAATGTCCATTTTTTATTTCATT